ATTTAATTTTAGTCTGTTAGATGCTAACCATTTTGAGACAAGTTTCAAGTCTTTATTTATATAAGAGATACCAGTCTGAATATTTTTAGTACTTATATAAATCATAGTGTCATCGGCGAAAATCTGAATTTAGCATTTTTTGACTTTGGCAGGTAAATCATTTATGTATAAAACAAAAAGAAGTGGCCCCAGGATACTGCCCTGTGGAACACCCAACGTATTTTCAATATTTGATGAAATAGTGTCATTAACTTTTGTAACTTGCATCCTTTTAGACAAATAATTTCTACACCAATCTAAAACACTTCCTGATATACCTACCACATGCCGTCAATTTACCTAACAAAATATCTCCATCAATCGTTTCAAATGCCCTCTTCTAATCCAAAAATACTGCTATGACAACTTCTTCTGGGTGTATGGCTCTTCTCCAATTCTCAGTGGAATATTTTTTTCGAAAGCCTGCTTGCGCCTTTACTAAAATTTTGTTTTCTTCTAATGTCTGGTAACACATGTACTGGTCTCATATCGCCGCATCTTTTAGAATTTTTTATTTTGAGAACTGGTGTTATTGTAGAGCATTTCAAATTTTCAGGAAAAGAACTGCTTCTCAGTGAACAATTGATCCAATTTACTACAGGATATCCAAAAATTTCGAAACAGTTTTTCAGCACGTTTTTAGTAGTGATTTCGGCACAGTTGTTATTTGATTTTAAACTGTGTACTTTTTTTCTTAGATAATTTCAATGACACGCTATGAAATTTTGAAAGTGTATGCAACATTTCCCCCTGGAAACTGATTACACAATATCAACAATACTTCCCACAAAATATTCAGTTAGTTTGTTTTCAATCACCAAAGAATTTGTTTCGGTACCGTTTTCGAATTGAACTTGATTTACACAATCATGCCGCTTCGAATTGATCAGTCTTTTTAAAGTCTTCCACATCTTTACACTGTCGCACTTCTTATTATCAATTTGTTTATCGTAGAATTTCCGTTTTTTCTTCTCTAATTACATACACACATTTATTCCTAAGAGTTTTATATACCTCCCAATCATCATTTGATTTTGTGAATATACATTTATTGTATTGTTTGTCTCACAAATTTTGAGCTGCCTTAATATTCTTGTTATACCAGGGTGTATTTTTTGTCGAGCAAATCACTTTTTTATCAGTTGCAAGATCTAAACAAGTTTTTATATTTCCTATTATGTTGTCATATATTTTTTCCATATTCTCACCGAAATTCCAATAGCAGCCAGCAAGTTCTCGTTCAAGTTTTTCGTACTTAATAGTATTTACGATTTTCTTAATTTTTGTATCAGAAAAATGCCCTACCAAGGGCAGCATTGTCCAACTGTGATCACTAACTTTAGGTGTATGTACAGCTTTAATCCCTGCACATTCGAAATTTACAATAACAAGATCTAACAAAGTCTCTGATAATGATGTTATTCTGGTACTCTCTTCAAATTTTTGCTTGAACCCATAGTTATTTATGGTTTCTTGAAATTTTCTTGTTTTCATGCTTTTACTATAATAATTTAAATTAAAATCACCTAAAAGTATTATATTGTTTCTAAAACTCCACATTTCTTCGCATTTCTCTTCAAAAAACGTTAAAAATGTATCCGCATCACTGTTTGGTGATCGGTAAAAAGTACAAAGATCAAAACGTTTCCCAAATAATTTGAACTGTATATGTGCATACCAGTATGCATAGTCTAAAGTGGTACAATCGAATAATTTGATCTGTATTTTGTGGTAAACATAAATCACTACACCTCCAGTATGTCTGGAGTTGGAGTTGCATCTGTAGGTTTTATAATAGTAATTTGTAATTCACCATCAGTGATGTCTTCTGTAGCATGTGTTTCGGTAAGACATAATACAAGTGGTTTTCTCCATCTTAAAAACTGTTGAACTTCATCTATATTATTCAGGACTCCTTGTATGTTTAAATGGTATAGTTATATTCATCACTTACAGATTTAGCCACATCTTGCAAATAAGCCTCGTAATCTGCATGAAAGATATTAAACAATGTACCTGGTTCTTTGGAATAGTCAATTATACTTCTTTATACAACTTCGGATCGTAATCATTATAAGAACATTCACAATAAAGTTGGAGACTACACCACCCTCATTTTATGCAAGTCTTGGCATAGTTTTTTGTTTTAAAGTAGTCAGTGAGAAAAGCGTCCGAAAATATAGTTTTTTTTTGATAGTTTTGATGCAAAACACATTGTTTTATTTGTGAGATTGTAACATTTACTTGATGGTGAAATACAGAACGTAGTTTAATAGCATTGAAATGTGACGTTATTTGCCTTTCGTGTGCTAATTAAGTATTCTCTACTATAATGTTTATCCTATTTTTTGTTCCTAGTACTAGTAACTGTTATTGATTCTTGTGCCCACAAAACCCCTGAGGATTGTGCATATAGAAGGCTTTTGTTTTGATTATAATCCATGATACTACATACCTGAAAGCCCGGGCTGTGACGGCGCTGTGCTGGGGGCTCTGTTACATGATAAAGAATTCTCGCATGATGCCACTACGTGCGATAACTCCCTATTATTGCCCAGCGCCTAGACAGGCCGTGCAGATTATAATATAAAAGTAGAAAAATAACCTCTTAACACCTATATGTACAAAAACAATTTCCTTAACCTAACATCAAGTATGTGTATCACAGGGTCCAATCAAACCTAAGTCGGCGATTAGACAATGTATTCCGAGACGTTAACTAGGAGCTATTAAAAATCTGACACTTTTGCTAGTAGACCGTTTTTTTACGCCATCTGAGGTAAAATACAGTTAGTTTCATTAAAAATGGTTATAGTGGACAAAGAAGAACTGAAAAACCCTACAGATGATACTACTATCATGCTAGCTGTACTGACCTTGACAGATCTATCTGGAAACCCCAGTGGCTTAACATAACTGGTTTACGATGGAATAACCAGACTCAAATCAGGAACCGAAGAAACGGATTGTTGTTGATTTATATTTCTAAGCATGGTCGTCTCAACCCTTACTTAAAGCAGGACTACATAGGTAGTAATAATATTATATAATTTCAAAAGATGCAATGCTTTTTTGTTTATCTCATGGTTGTAACTTTATGTCTAAGTTTCCCCACAATTCAAGTGATACTGTCCCTAAGAGAGGCGCCAATTGTTCTTATTAATTTCGCTATTACTATCCTCTAAATGAGCCGATTCTCAGGAACAGTTATAATTTTCTCTCTCTCTCTCTTTCGCTATAGTAAAAACCACCTATTCTCAAAATTTTAGTATTTAGCATTGTTCTTATTAATTTCGCTATTACTATCCTCTAAATGAGCCGATTCTCAAGAACAGTTATAATTTTCTCTCTCTCTCTCTTTCGCTATAGTCAAAACCACCTATTCTCAAAATTTTAGTATTCAGCATTACTTTTTGAGCTATAGATAAGCCAATGATGACGGTACTTATGCCGGATTCATGATACGTACATATTAGGAGAGTCAAAAATAGAATCAAGTAGATAGACTAAGTTCTTTCCGTGCACTCGTAAAAGTCTATCTATAAATGGAACATGCCTGATCTCAACATTTTTGAGCTTTCACCAAAAAATTTTACTAGGCCCTAAACTGATCAAAAACTGGAAAAATAGTATTTCTGGAACGTTTTATTCTTCGTTTTTCGCTTATACCTTTACATCACTGAATCCATTTGTAAAGCCGGGAATACACTTGAGCCGAGGCTAGCCGCGCACCGAACGAGCCAGCCTCGGCGCGCCGCGATGTGATTTGCCGCGTAACGAAATACGATACATCGAAACAAACGTGTTGGCGCGAGCCCCGGCATGTTCACAGCTGATCCGTACAGGAGCACATGCTTAGTGATTACTTATTCAGTGGAGCGGTTCATTTTGATTTCCGGTTCTTTTTGTTTTGTTACTTGTAGAAGATTAGAAGATGTCGACAAAAACTACGTAAGCTTGACTAATTTTGCATTGAATTTGCACGCGAGGACTGATGGAATTGAAATAAAACTCAAATTAATAATTTGTCTTTCAGATCGGCGTGGATCAATGAAAAATGCCTAGGCAGCAGCGGTGGCCGTAGTAGTAGACTCTTCGGTCTCCTGATCAGTCGCCGTGTGCTGTGCGGGTTCGAGTCCCGTCCCAGGAGACATTTTTCTCTTGGCTATGGATGTTGTGATTGTCCGTAGGTGGTAGATGGTCTCTGACTGTCGAACGCGGAGGTACCACCCGGCGGTTCTCGTAGGCGGAGCCAGAATGTGTGCATGCTGCATGCACACGTGTTCCCTCGCCAGAGTCCGTGTGGCGTCCCCCCCTTTCCCATGTATCCCCCTATAGCCCCACGGTACCCAATGGGTGCTTAGGCCCTAGGCCTTCGTGGTAGTTGGAATATAAAAAAAAAAAGATTTGAGTAAAGAAGTTAGTGTCGTAATTTGTAAATAACCAAAAATAGACTCTATATTCGCCCCGAGGCAAATGCTGATCGAAAATTCCGTACACACTGCGCACGAACGAGGCACAGCTCGGCCGGTGCACACTTTGATGGACCGACAGCTGATGGCGCACCGCATGAGGCAATGTTGCCAGGTTAAAAAACTGAAAGTCACCAGACACTTGTTCAAAAAGTTGCCAGATTTTGCAAAAAATCACCAGATTTTTTTATTTTCGCATATTTAGTCAAGATACATACAATAAAAGAAATAAAAAATGTTTTACATAGGTTTTGGATTTATTACAAAATATTATAAATTTAAACGTTTTTCTTATTGAAAAAAATTAAAATCAAGTCCTGATTTTTGTATTTTCGTATATTTAGACAAGTTACATACAATAACAGAAATAAAAAATGTTTTACATAGGTTTTGGATTTATTACAAAATATTATCAACTACAACGTTTTTCTTATTGTAAAAAAAATAAAATAAAGTCCTGGATATTAAAATATATAGAGTATATAATACATATCAAAATTTATTTATACATGCTATTATTGTGCCGATTAATGATATCTTCAGTTACAGAAAAGTTAAAACAGCATTTAGAGAAATTAATTTTTTACTGTGTAAGATTCCACTCTTTGTTTTGGAGCCTAATTTGTTTCGCATTTTTGTTTTATTCAAATTGATTTCAAAAAATAATCTTTCCACACTTGCGCTACTGTGGGGTAATGTAAATAAGACATTTACAAGGTTTTCAAGCTCTGGAAAAATAAGACTATTACCACCTCTTTTCGCATTGCACACTTCTTTCCAAAATTCAGTCTCATCTAAAGAAAAATCAAAATTTGAAAATTTCAAATGCCTAAATTCTCTGTCTAGAGTCTTAATATCGTTAACAAGATTTGGAAACCAAAAGGCTAAAGGTGCTATATTTTCCGTTGTTTTGATATTTGGAGAACTCAATATAGTGAGTAACTGAAGAATTTTTGTTTCACGAGAATTGAAAGGAAATCGTTTGTGTAGCTGATCAACTGCCTCAATATAAAAATTCAGACATTTTGTTTTAATATTATTTCTAACTGTTTCTTTTAATCCATGTTAGTCAGTTCTGCAGCTGCTTTGGGACCCAAATAAATTTCATCAATTGAAAGAAAATTTTCCGGATTATGATATTGTATATATTCTAAATCTTTATTAATTAAGTAGTCCGGTTTTAGGAAACAACTTAATAAAAATTTACAGGCGCTCAACATTTGGGGGTAAATGTTACATATTTTTGGTTTTTCTGACTGGAATTCTAAATTTAAATTCGTAAAAGTTGGTAATATATATTCAAGAAAGAACAGGTATATTTTATTTAATGGGTTGTTTAGCATACTATTGATTTCGTCTGCTCCTGATACTTTATCGGATGCTTCGTCTCTAAAGTAATGCTGAAGAGCATCATAATGTTCAAGGATTCTAGAAACAGCGGAAATCAATGACAGCCATCTTGTTTGTGAAGCATGCAACAGCTTATGAGGTTTAATATTAAAAAATGATTGAAATTTACGCAATTCTGATTGTCTTTTATGACTGCGATGCATATATGAATAAATACTTCTAACTAGCTTCTCTGGATCATCTGGCAATTTTTCACAAGCAAAAGAAGCACATAATGCAAGAGAATGACAAATCCATTTCATGGTATAAAGATCAGGGATGTCATTAACTAAAAGTGTTTTTAGTGAATTATGCGCCCCCATCATTGTATTTGCCCCATCAGCTGCAAATCCGACTAAATTATTTTTAAAAGGAATATTATTTTCTACAAAAAAATTTGCTATAACATTATATAGATTTTGTGCAGTTGCTGTCTCGACTAATACGAGTCCAAGAAATTCATCTTTTATCTTTTATCTTTATTATTGTAACTACTAGGGCTAAATGTTTTTCTGAGAAAATATATGTCAATTCATCAACCATCAAAGAAATTTTTTAACTTTTAACTCTAAAATAAGGTGTTCAAAGCTTGCCTTTCCTATAACATTATTAATAATTACTGTACATTTTGTTCTGTCACAAGACATTTTTGAAACTTGGCTAGGTTCCATATCAGATAAACAAATAGATTTGACAAGTTCAGTGAAATGATCAGAAATGTTAATAGCAATATTATCCTCCGCAATAAATGATGCAATTCTAATCTTATTTTGTTTAATTATTTTATCAGACGGAATAGAAAATACTTTTTTTGACAAAATTGATTGGCTACGCATTGCGTTCATTTTGTCGATATGTTTTTTTGATAAACTATGTTTTTTGACTGCAGCTACACTACCTATATAGTCTTTATTGCATATTTTACAATTAAAATGATGAATACCATGAGAGCTCGGCTTGATCCATTTCCCAAAATCTTCATGTTTCTCCTTTGCGGCTTTATATTTATGATCGTATAACTTCTTTTTCTTTATTAAACGTGAAGACTTATCTAAATTTCCATCGTCAAGCACAGAATCAGAAGCTGAGTCAGAGTCATGTGCTTCATCTTGTTCTTTTGCATCAACGTTGCTAGGCTTGCTTGTAGTGAATGTGGACATGGACAAGTAACAGGTTCTTGTTTTTCCTGATTACAAATTTGTCCATATTTCGCAGTTATTCTAAAGTGAAAAATAAAAATATTCAAAAATAAATATGCGAGTATGTTTTCATATCTAGCAAAATTTCTTGATAAAGACACAAAGTTAAAAATATTTTAAATACCTACCTTTAAGTTGATCAGAAACAACACTTTGCAATAAAAAAAAAACTCTACAGAGGCTCAAGTGAAAACAATAAAAACACTACTGTAAATACTGCCCAGATAAGATGCCGGCGGCGCCCACGGAACCTTCTTAAGTAAAACGCTATAGTCACGTATCTTTATATAATTATATACTTTATGTATACTGACAAACAGTAGATTTCTTTTGAATACAAATTTAAATTTATAAATAGGCCAGTCCTAAAAATCACCAGAAATAGGAGTTTTCAAAAGAGTTTTCACCATATCACCAGAGTGGTCTAAAAATCACCAGATCTGGTGATTTTTCACCAGACCTGGCAACATTGGCATGAGGTAAACCGAGCCTGTTCGCAACCAGTGTAGCCAACCCTACAGTTTTAACTGTAGATCTACAGTTTTTTGGAAATTCTCTCAATTTTTAGTTTAGGCCTCGAAATCTACAGTTTTTTATTTAGGCTGCTAGCGTCATCTATTTTATTTGCTACGTATTCCGTACACTAAGTCAGCTTCAGTAAAACTTACTACTATCGAACCGGAGGTAATGGGCAACCAATTTAATAGATGGCGCTGGTGGTGGACAGTTGTATATCGTTTCGGTCAATGTCTATTTTACCGACATTCTATTGTTTACTTATTCGGGAATCCCTCAATTCCGTCATTCGTCTGATTAGATTCTTTTTTGTTCGGCTGACGTTGTGAGCTTAGCAAAAAGTTAGGAATATGCATAGCTGCAGTAGTGATAGTGAGTCAGATGTTGGTAAATCCCCACCAAGAAAGAAGAAAGTAGTGAGATACGAGCAAAAATTTATTGACTCTTGGCTCAGCGACGAAAAGTTTAGTGGATGGCTCGCAAAAAGTAAAAAAGGTAACACTTATTTTTACTGCTCTGCATGCGACTGTGATCGTACATGCGGAATTCAAGAATTGACGAGACACAAAAATTCGTCAAAGCACCAAGCAAACTGTAAAAAAATACAAAAGCAACCTAAGCTTACATCTTTGTTCGCATCGACATCAAAATCACAGGAACCGCAGCAAATGGCAAAAGTCGGCGAAATTAAACTAGCATGTTTTATTGCGGAACACAACCTAGCATTTAATGTTGCCTCACATCTGACTAATTTAATAAAATCGGTGTGTCCAGATTCAAAAACTGCTGAATATTTGTCTATGAGCCGAACAAAAGCAAGAGCTATTGTAGTAAATGTGACAGGAAAAACCGCTGAAGAAAGCTTGATAAAAAATTTAAGGGAAAACGAGTTTGCATTGCTGGTAGATGAGAGCACTGATAAGTCGACAAATTGAAAATGAGATAGCAGCTAGCTAGTGATATCATCTACTACTGATAGCTATGATTTTCAAGAGAAGGTTCCTGTTCTCTGTTCTCATGTTCTGTTCCTGTTAGATTAGCATTTTCATACTAGTTTTTGACATTTCATTTGATTAAAACTTTGATAAATACATGCTTTTTATTATTTTTAATTCCCTCCCTATAATATCATTAAATAATACAAAATAATAAAAAGATAAAGATGTAGATTTACAGTTTTTTAAATTGGTATTTACAGTTTTCTGCAGTTTTTTTCAAGCATATCTACAGTTTTGCTCTATGCTGGGGTTGGCAACACTGTTCGCAACTGTGTTGGCGCGCCGTACACACTTGCGCATCGCGGCGCGCCGAGGCTGCCTCGTTCGGTGCGCGGCTTGCCCGACTCAAGTGTATGCCCGGCGTTACAGCTCGCCGTTCGACCCGATCTAGACTCGTCGGTTTTTCAGTGCAACATCAAAGGAATGGCTCGCGATGAAGTTGCACATGTTTGGACAGGCACACCGGTGCGGCGAGCACCAATGTGTTATTTTGTAATATACGAGTACGTAGAAGTAAAATAATTATTTTTCATACTTGCACATTTCCCTTTAAAACTGCGATAAATGCCTCACCAACTTCTGGAATGATGTAGCTGATCGATTCCTTTGAAATTCGAAACATGTATTGCAAACTACTATATGAATCACCGGTCGCTAAAAATCGCACCGTGACTGCAAGTCTTTCTTGCACTGTGATGGCAGCTCGCCATTTTGTTTCTTGTTTTCGTATTTTTGGTCCAATCAACGTGAGAAAATACTACCCGCAGGGGTATTATGCAAAAAAACCAAAAAATACCAACAAAATGTCATCTTGCAAACTAGGTAGTTTTTAGTGTGCAAATAGTTCATTCCACGTTTGGCGGGCGGCACGGGCATTACGTATCTTGAAAAATGACATTTAGTCGGTTTTTTGATATTTCGTAGGTTTTTCTACAAGATGTTAACTTAGCAAAAGCTGTTGTACATTTGTTGGGAACTCGTTTTGTAGCTGTGCGTGTTGCTTAAACGTCAGCGAACAACGATCATAGCGAGCAAACGTAGTAGTAGTAGTAGTAGTAGAAAGATTTATTTAGCTACATCATCAGAATAATTGTAAACGACTTAGAATTACTAAGCTCAAGCCATATGATGTATGATGTAAATGCTATATACCTCCCAATCATCATTTGATTTTGTGAATATACATTTATTGTATTGTTTGTCTCTCAAATTTTGAGCTGCCTTAATATTTTTGTTATTTATTGTCTTTTAAGTTTTGCATATGGAAATAAAATAACACGGTAGGTAGTTTTAAATGAGTTTATTGTCTTGCGAAGTATTCTCCACGAAGATTAATACACATCTGCATGCGCTCGAACCAATTTGCGAAGCACTTATTCCACTCGTTTGCTGGCAGATCCAAAACGGCATTTTTGAATGCGTCAACTGCTTCTTCTAGTGACTGGAACCTTTGACCACGCAGTCTGTTTCTAATTTTCGGGAAAGTAAAGAAATCGTTAGGACTTAGATCGCCACTATATGGAGGATGGTAAAATAATTCCACGTTTTCTTCCGTTAAATACTGCCTTGTGTGCGAGCTTGCATTGTCTTGGTGGAGGATGATTCTTCTTTCGGGGTTGATTTTTCGAAGCTCGGTGATGACTTTTTTGCAAACAAATGGTGGTGTATCAATCCGCAGTAACAGTACTTTGCTCATTAAGAGCAATTGTTGCAATATGACCCGCTTTTGACACAAATGTCGTTTATTTTCTGGTTCATAACAGAAAAATCCACGATTCATCACCACTAACAATGCTGTACACATTTTTTGAGTTTCCGGAATTGAAACGGTCAAGCGTTTTTTGACACCAATTAACCCTGGCTGCTTTCTGCTCTTCAGTCAACAAGTGGGGTATCCAACGAGAAACTAATTTTCTTACTCCTAATTCTTCATGTAAATTTTTTTGAATTGAGGTCTTTGAGATACTCAAGGATGCCTCAATCTCGCGATATGTCACATGTCTATCTTCAATGATGAGTTTGCGCACAGCATCGACGTTTTCCTGGGTGACTGCCGTTTTTGGTGCACCCACCCTGGAATCGTCGCTAAGACCCACCCGTTCACGTTTGAATTCTCTATACCAACGGGAAATTGTCGACTGATGTGGCGTTTCGTTGCCGAAAACAGACAGTAACTCAGCAAGGCATGCTTGCTACGATAATTGTCTCTGAAAGTTGTAATAAATTATGGCGCGAAAATGTTCTCGGTTGAGTTCCATTTTTCTAATGACTTGGTGGCACTTAAAAATTCACTGTAGTGAGAAAACTGCACGTATTGTTGTGAAACTTTGAATTTAAGTTTACTAAAGAGTGAGGTTAATATTCCGTACTGACGTTCGATCCGCGCGGCCTACTATGTTTCTATATGCAAAACTTAAAAGACATCCCTCGTACCAGGGTGTACTTTTTGTCGAGCAAATCATTTTTTTTTTCAGTTGCAAGATCTAAACAAGTATTTATATTTCCTATTATGTTGTCATATATGTTTTTCCATATTCTCACCAAAATTCCAATAGCAGCCAGCAAGTTCTCGTTCAAGTTTTTCGTACTTAATAGTATTTACGATTTTCTTAATTTTTTTATCAGAAAAATATCCTACCAAAGCCAGCATTGTCCAACTGTGGAATGAACTATTTGCACACTAAAAACTACCTAGTCTGCAAGATGACATTTCGTCGGTTTTTTGACATTTTTTAGGTTTCTTACGTAATAGCCCTGCGGTACAAAATATTTTTCCATTTTTTTAGCTATTACTCCGTCGTAACGAACCTTTCAAAATACATATAAACGCTACTCAATGCCCCACGTTGAGCAAAAAGAAAGTAAGTTACGTCTGGCAGTTCTGGGATCTTACTCTATTACGAGTCTTTCCTCTAGCTCATCCGTAGAGATCACAATCACTCAGTATAATAAAATTTTGAAGCATGACCAGAATCATGTCTGTGACAACAAAGTAAGTCAAACATTTACTTCAGTATCAACACAAACTTTTCTGGGGCGGGGTGTAGAAATTCAAGTGAAAAGATGAGTAAAAGCACAGCTCAAAGAGGCATCGGCCCTCGCCTACAGAAAAGTTGGTCGCACGCGATCGAAAAGGAAGATACCCTCCGTTTGAACTGGTTCAGAAAGAACGAGGTCCGCTTGAATGAAATCGCCAATCAACCCCCAACAAGGTCTGTGCCAGAAGAAGTGAAGAACGAGGTCGAACAGATAATTGTGGATAACTTTAGAAATGCGGATAGGAAACCTAGGATAAAGGCATATGACGATGAACTTATCGATCCAGGAGCACTGCAAAGTTAGTTGGGCATGGCGTAAAAATCAGCTAGCCTGATATAATTAAGGAAATCAAACTAAATAACTTGTATGGTTTTGAAAATTGGCAGAGCTATCCCTTTAGGTGTCCAGATGAATGTACTAAAAGTCCTCGATCGTGGGAGGTGAGCCGGGATGGGGAAGGTTCATATTTTTGTTCCTCGCTCATTAATAATTTACATAAAATTTACAACAAATTATGTCACATACGCTTTTACTGTAGGATCAATACTTTAGGAGCTACACAGGATCTTAGCTGATGGAAATAAAATGAGTACATCTTTAAAAGAAGGTTGCAACAACCGCTGAAAAAGAATGTTTATTTGTGCTATCAAGGCAAATCTAAGGACACCTTAAATCCCAAAAACTATCCAGCTGTAGCTCGTGAAACATCAATTTCAAATTTGAAGTTAGAAATCTGCTATTTCAATTTTATGAAACTTTGGTATATCCAATGTCCGTACATTTGCCCTTAAAAGTTCCTTCGTGCATGGAAAACCGCCTGCGTATGGCTGCATCGCTTGCATTTCCGATCTCGAGTTATGACTGTTGCTACTGTCGTCGCGTGAAATAATAAATTGTACAATCACATGGACATTATCGTACACAGTGGCGTTGTATGGACTCAACCATTTAGAAGGAGCGCGGTGGTGGTCGCAGGATTCATGTCAGAAAAATGCCCATGCCAGGGAAAGGGGGGGGATTGCGCGCTACCACTCCTTCTCCCTTTGCCAGCTCACCTCCTACAGTCGAGGATCTCAAGTACGTTCATCTGGACACCTCAGGGAATAGCTCTACCAATTTTTAAAACAACATGAATTGTTTTGTCCCATCGACAGGTTTTAATCTACCTATATTTCTTATACTAAACAGTTTTCCGGATACTGAGGGAAAGGAAGGGCCAAATCAATTTAACCTAGACGCATTGGATATGAGCAACATTTTATCAAGGCCATACCTTCGAAGTATACAGATTACTTAAAATGGGTGTCCCAAGATTTACGTGAGACGACTTGAATTGAATATAAAACATTTTTACCTTGAACGTATAAACATTCCAGAAATTTCTATGGATTGTGAACTAAAGCAAATACCATCCGAAGGAATTATACTAGTCGCATCTAGTATATACACTGTTTTCCGGTTAGCAGACCTCTTGGCACGAGAGCAGCATTGCAAGCTAGAACTGAATCAAAATTTGATTTTAGCGCACCTCAAAATTAATCCGCGTGCCAGCAAGCCTAGGTGTTTCCTTCTCTTCTCTTTGTTCTTCTCTCGTAAAAACGTTCTGCACCAGGAAGTATTATAATCGCGAAAATTTTCGAAAATGAGATATTGGGTTTTTTAAAGTCACCCATTTCCGCCGGTCTGTCTGTTGGCCTGTCTGTCTGTCCGGTAATCCTTGGCTGGTTCTATAACTTGAGAAGTACCGATCGGATTTTGATGAAATTTTTACACAAAGTCGCTACTATGTCAACAGGGAGAAAGCTTTGTAGTTTTTGTAAATCGGTCGGAGAAAATAGCCAAAAACCAAAAAATAAAGTTTGGTCAAGCTTCATTTTTTGACGTTTCAAGGGATCTTTACCAATTTTCGGAAAAAAACATTTGAAGGTGTAAAAATTGAGGTTTAGGGATTGCAGGGGGTGGGGGAGGGTATACGTCAATTTCTTGACGTTGGTATATTTATACGCCTCCAACCCCAGTAATTATACGCACCTTTTAGGTATACTTCACCCATATGTCCCCGTACATTTAACCTTAAAACTTAGAAATGTATGTGTGCACTGTGCACGGCAGGGGGAGAAGGGAGGTCACTTAATTTCTTTTTGTACACGTTCGTAACTAACCTTTTTCTCAGAAAGGCTAGCTTGTGCCAAACATAATCCTTTACGAGCTGATGATAGCGTTGCATGGGAAGTACAGGGTCAACTCACTTGACGCCATTTTTTCCTTTCCCTCTCTCCATACTGGACAGCGACTAATGATGAATAGCACGAGTAAGATATGCTGAACACCTTTCCGGTAATTTTGAAGGTATTATGAAACCTGTGGATCCAGCTGTGACAAAACTAATCTACACTGGAGCGAACCAAGAGGGAAGAATCAACTACCTACATGAACGAGTCAAATTAACACCAGACCAGCGATTCTACTTTCCGGAATGTAGTAGCTGGGTGTATGGCTGGAATATGTGGAACACAGTGAAGACGATAAAGAAATATGGATTTGGAAGACAGCAAGTCATTAAGGAGTCCTTCTACAGACGCAGAGGTGTCGAGAGGGACCCTGATTGGTACACTGAACCTGCTGTGTTCAGCCCAACAGTTTGCACATGCAGTTTCTAATAAACACCTGTAAAATAAGTGTTTTTGTTACAATATAATCTGATGTTTATTACCACCAAAATATGCTGTCTGACGGAGGGCATCAGAAAAGTCAGTAGCTTATGGCAGCGAAACCCATTTTTTTTAAGGGAAAGCTTTTATAGCCACTCTCAGGTAGAAAAACACGACAGTTTTGCTCTGCCAGGTAGATTAGACGATTTTCTGCCATTGTGCCGTGTCGGAGGCATTCTTAACATCAAAGCTTCTTACTACTGCAGCTGTTGCTATCCGTTACTTTCGCCAGCTGTGCCACTGCACTAGGTGCATACATAAAGGCCTATATTTGCCTTCTCTATCGGTGAGTTTTGGAGGATTAGGAATGAGTACCAAGCTAGCCTCCTTCCACTTCTTCGGAAAGACTCCCGTTCTTAAGCATTTATTCATCACCGGCTTTATGATTTCTTTCGTTTTCACGATCTCATTTGGTATTTCATTTAGTCCTGGTGCCTTACCTATTTTCAAGTGCGTTGCAGCTTCTCAAATTCAATGAGCAAATACTTCGGAAACAGTCCCTCTGCAATTTTTATTTTCTGCTCAGTATCGAGGAACGGTTTGTCTGTGAGTTTTAGCTTTTTCATAGATATATGGTATGCTTGGCGCCATAGTTTTCTAAGTCACCTAATAAATCTTCCACATCCTCTGTTTCTAGTTCATTTTTGTGGATCACGCTCAAGGTGTTCCAGTTTTTGATTTTTCGAATCAGGTTCTCATTATGGAGCTCATCAAGGAGCTCTCCTCCCTCCTCCTTTATCTGTAATCCGGGATGTCCAAGTTGGCTACTTCGAATGGAAGTCTCCCCCAACAAATACTGCTATATACCGTGGTACTCAAGAAGTCTTTCTGAGTGAGCGTCAATTGTTATGTTTGGAGAAATATGTGTACACACAGAGCACAGCTCTATTTTTTTGTATGATTTCCATCTTCTATTACACACACAACTGCTCGTCGCAACTTACCCTTAGCCGTAAAGATACAAAGACCTCGGAACTTCATTGAATGCCTTTTTTTGAGGTTTAATAGAATGCGCTTAAATTACTGTATATTAAAAAGCTTAGATCATTTTTTTTTGCTTTCAATTGTTTTTGATATCCAAGACTTTAATTTTCTGTGTATTCGACTATTCAGGTTCATAATACATTGGTAGATCTCGCTGAACCGAACAAAAAAGTTCATGTAATTTCATGCATTTTATGGCGTCGAGACTGGCAACGTAGCGCTCCATCTGACAATACTGGAGACGCCGGGCTTGGAGGGAGTCAGGAGAATATGTGATCCGGTTTCAGTACAAGTTTGAACTCGCTCGAGTCATTTGGTTGTCCGTAGCGTTTTTTTTAAACAGTTTTTTTCTATTGTGTTCTAAAAATGATTGAATTTGATTCGTGTTTACTTGTCCCACATTTTGCTAAAAATTTATAATTCTGTATGACTACCAATAGTATGTGTAGACTAAGCTCCACGTAGAATTTTTTATACTGGTTCATGATTAACTGATATCTTTTGAAAATTTACTTGATATTCCGAATTTCCTTAGGTCCATATACAGATCATTTTTCTAACTAAAAGGCATGCTTTTTAAGCATTTCTAGTAAATAACAAGTATTTTCAGTTTTTAGGCTCATATGGGTCCTATGTCCTATAATAACGTTTTGCTTACAGTTTGAAGATCCGATGTTTGCATTAAACACGACAGACTTGAATAAACTATGCTTGAAAAATTTTGCAAATTTAAAGGTTGTCCATTTTCTTACAAGATTCGGTTCAATTGAAGTTGTTCAAATTCGGCATTAATTACACGACGCACGTTGAAAAATCGTTATATTTATACTACTCATAGTAATCAAAGTAACGAATACAATAAATGATTACTTTTTAGAAGAGTAACCATTTGTAACGAATACTCCAAAATAACGAGAATCAACACCACTGCTATGACATTGAAAGAACCAACCCCGGCGCAGTATGGCTTCAGAAGGAAGTTATTTTGAAGGTGACAGTATAAAATTGTAATTATATTTGAATAATAAATTAAAAAAATCAGTCAAATCACTCAATTTACAGATCTCGTACAAGCTCATCTATTTTAAATTATATATTTTATTATTACTAAATTACTTCAGTGATTAAGATGAAACGACCGTAGACATCCAGGAATTTAATCTCTTTGGTTATAGTCGTATCTGACTCAATTATCCCCAAGTAGTGACGTCATCAAATTTTATTAGGGTACTTCAGGGGTACTAAGTACGCCACTGGTTGCTTTATCAGTGATGTCAAGGGACTTTCACACAATAAATATGAAGTAGTATCATGTTTTCACATGTGAATTTTTCCTGTATAAAATCGGAGAAATGTGGGCCTGGTTTGCCATGCAATTCTGAAAGTGGTATTATATAAATTTGTACATCCAGTTATATTATATTCCAGCTACCGAAAAACATTAGAAATGTGAAATTTACGCTTAGTTGTTGGCGTTTCATGGTTGCACCTGGTTAACGTTTTACGAATGAAATGGAAATTTATTTCGCCATATTATACTCATATACATACAAGACTATGATTTGGTGACACAACACTTTCCTTTAAGTGCAAGTGTGTAGAAAGAATATCTGAATGGTTTTGTAAGTTTTCTTGTGTGTACATATCATACATCCATGTTGGATGCATTGAAAAACTGATTTGAAGCATCCAAGGTCTGAAAGAATCAAATTTCGTCTCTTTGAAATAGTTTTCATCATTTCTTCGACCAACGTAGTCTAAACTATCATATTCTGTGCATTTTCTGATGCTCGACGCTTTTGTCTCGTATCATTCACCACAACTTATGTCATTGTTAAGCAAAGGAGGTTAGGCACGGCGGTTTAACCATAACTTTCTAGTTAACCCATACATGATGAACTGGCATATTCAGGGGCGGCTTTGGGGCCCAACACATTTTTTCGTATATAATACAGTATGTGGCTTTCTCGCTCAGAGGCTGTGTCCACCCTGAAGCCCCCAGAACTTTTTTTTTGATACGCCAGTAAGATGGTCTACTGGTTAAAGTTAATCATAGGTTTAGGACCAAACAGACATTAAAAAACTCGTTTTCTTCCTTAATACTGAAATCACCTAACATTTGAAAGAAATTTGATAGTCGTCTAGTTTCTATACCTTAGATTTCTACAATATCAAACTCTACCAAGCGGAACGACTTTTTTATCATCGTCCCGAGTGTTTGGTGCTATGAACTAACTACAGACGTTTTTAGCTATGCTTTTGCCAATTCTCTGTGTTGTGGAGGACATTATTAATCCGGCGTTTATCAATCGTTCTACTAGTTGTAACAGTAATTAGCCCCTTGTCCATTTCGTCTTTACCTATGGGTATACGAGGCTCAGGCACAGTGCCCGGCACAGGTATTATGTAAAAAACCTACAAAACGCCAAAAAAAACCTAAAAAATGTCATCTTGCAGTCTAGCTAGTTTTTAGGGTGCAAACAGTCATTCAACGTTTGCTCACTAGGATCGTTGTGAGCGTCCAGCTAAGGAGGAATACTTCAACTACACGCATTGTTGGTTGCATATGTTTTGTGAAGCCGAGTAGTCTATAGTTTTCATCTTTGAGAAGAAAGTTGGTTGAATAGCAAGATCGCATCTGCATGTGTATAAAATCTGTGATATTTGCTGTGTGAGAAAATCATTACTGAATATGCTGCCAATGTAGTATATCTATTAGCTGTGCTTGACGGGTTATTTATAGCTGTCCTTTCTGAAGATAGGTTATGTTCAAAGTTATAAATTACGATTTTTTAGGTTTTTTGTTTTTAAAAACTTTGAAAATTACGGGAAATCACCACCGCGCCCGCGTTATGTGTAATTACTGTTAGCATGTATATGACTTGTAATTCAACAGTTTACAGTGAATATAATTATTTCTTATCCCTCTCATTTTTGAAATTCAGCAAATTTGCGAATGTAATTTAAAAAATGGATAAGAAAAAGTGGATGCGCAATTAATTTCTAGCTTTGTATCTCAAGTGAGTGTACTTATTTGAGACAAGAATCCAATGGGACTATGATCAACTACAAAATGAGTTCACAAGGTATCCATCAGATAGTGCTAAGTTAACATCTTGTAGAAAAACCTACATTATGTCACAAAAAGCCAATATAATGTCAAACAAATCCACACAATGTCACTTTTCAAGATACGTAATATCCCTGCTGATGGGAAGCCGTAAATGCCCAAATATCAAACATAGCTTCAGACAGTCCTTCCCTTAGTTTTGCTGGTGAACCATATTCTCGTTACGTGGTACACTACTCTGCCGAGACCTCAAGAATAGGAACAAGTCTTTAGACAGAACATCCTGACTTTCATTGAGACATCATTAAGGTCCGAAACATACACTCGGGATCGGCAGAGAGGGACAAAGGTGGCCAACTTGCCAGTCTTCGCCTCCCCACCACTACTAGTACTAACGTATAACCTAAAAGTTTTGGCTGAATATTTATTGGCTTTAATTTTAACAAACACAAAATAATATCAAGTTGCCTTTGGAGACAAAAGTTTGTTTACTTACTTTACTGTCAGTTGACATTCATTCTGAAGTTTTCGCTTCAAGATTTCGTATAAATTAGAAATAAGAAAAAGTATCTACAAGTTGGTTGGGCGGGTACCCAATGCTGAAATCTGTCGAATATTTTAGAATGAAAGCATGTGTGAAAGTGGAAGACAACGTGCATTTATTGTAACAGAGATCAGAGAGATTGGTGAAAAGAGCAGAAGAGCAAAAAATCAGGTTGGACTGTCAACAAGGAGACTGGCTCGTCAATACAAATCTGCTAAGAGTACGATATCATTGGAATTGAGAAGAAAAGGGCCTTAAATATCGAAAGACACTCAAGTGCCAAATACCCTCAAGCGCAACTCGTTCGTATACCGAGATGCTGTCGTCAATTGAAGCGGGTACACTTTGCCAATGGAAAAATCATTTTTGCAGACGAAAAGTATTTCACTTTGAGTAATTCAGCAATGAATGGAAACGACTGAAATGACTGATTTTATTCGGACAACGTAGAAGAAAGCCCTGACAATGTTGGATACAAACATAAAACGAATTTTGCAGATAAAATCTTTGTCTGGTGTGCAATTTCTGACATAGGTTCTAAGAGTGAGGGATGAAGCTTTGAATAGTCAGAGCTATATTGATAACTGCCTTTCCAATTGCTTCAGTTTGTCCACGAACATCATGCTAATTACCATATCATGTTTTGACCAAACCTAGCACCATGCCATTACCCAAGAGATACCCAAAACTGGCTTCAACAACACAACATACCTTTTGTTCCCAAAAACGATAATCCTTTAAACTTGCCGCAGACTCACCAAATATAGGATTTTTGGGCATTACTGTCTAGGAAGGTGTATCATGGAGGCTGGGAAGCCCAAGATGAAAAACAATTAAGACAGCGAATTTACGAAAAACTGAGAGAAATTGATCTGAATTCCGTCCAGTGCCCCTATTCTTGACTTTAATAGAAAATCACACTCCCTCTCTTTTTCTACTCCCCTGGTTTTCTACCGATTCGAAAATACTGTATTCTTGAAAGGACTCGATAGAAAGGAGAAAGGAAATGACGACACAGTGTTGCCAGGTTTGAGTAAACGTTTTAAACCAATCAAAATGGGGATAATTTTGACAGTCAAAAACTAACCAAAGATTCTGGTCAAGATAATTATAATTTTATCTATGGAGCCGAAACTAAAAAAAAATACATTACAAATGAACAAAAGGACAAAATGAATTTCTCCGAGAATGCCCCCAAATGCACCAGGAAAAATTCAATCATAGATTAAAGGATACTGTTTTAGAATGACTAAAACTTAATATCTACTTTTGCCGTTGTTGTGATCGAAAGTGCAGAAACTCGTGGGGGTCGTTGTATGAATGGAGTCAATATCTCCAGCAATTCATACACCAAATCTTTGGTCAACCTAACCATCTGTACAAATTTTTGATCCGAAATTATGAAAGGCTCTCGCTGCCCAAGAATATCTCTCCAAATCTCCCATTCCTCAACTGCCTTGTCTACATCCTCGTTAGTAATATCGTTCAATACATCATTGAAATTAACCATTTTTTGCAATATGTCTAGCAGGAACGACAATAACAATGCCAAACACGTCAATTTTTAGATATAGCGATATTTTCTACTAATTTTTTGGTCGGTACCAATAGAAATCGCGACTCCCTGAAGTGAATTCGTTTCTATCACTTTCCGGTAGAATTGATTTCAAGAATACTGCATTTCTTGGCCACACCCACTTTTTGCCACTTTCTCTCACAATTTTTACTCCCTCAAACTCAAGAATAGAGGTCCAGGACTTCATAAGAGACATTCGAAGAAAGTTGCGCCTGGTAGAGCAGAATTGGCCACTCCACATAGTTCGATAGTATAGCGTAGTTAAGTAATGAGTTGCAATTTATGATAACTACTTAGTGTTTAAATAAATTTCTTTCTTTCCAAAACTTTTAGGACATACGATAGTTCGAGAGATCTACACTTTGAAAAAATCTGCTGCCTCCTGTCCATCTGTCTCATGTTTTTATCTGACTTGGTTACATGATGATTATTGGACTTGAATGGATCGCTTGGATGAGAGGAGACGATTATTACATAATTTTCCTGATGAATTGATTGACACGTTACCTTTGAATATCGTTGTATCTCGGAAAGCGAATCATACAGGATGCGGTTCAATTTTGAAAGAAAATTATCTTCTTCAGATGGCTCTTGGTCATACAGACATTTCAAGTAGTCTCCAGAATGCTTTGCTTCGCTGATTGTTTCTCCATGTGCTAAAAATATTGTATAAGAATGTACAAAAAGGTGAAATAATGCATACAGGGTGTCCCAGAATTCGTAATCAAGCAGGATAGAGGAGATAGGCCCAGTCATAATAGTTATCACCAGAATATAAAAAATCTAAGTCATGTACTTTTCAAATTAAAGGCTTTAAAATAGTCAGAAATACCTATTCCCTGTGACGATCTTTTTGTTCCCATTAATATGAAAAAAGTTGTCACCGTTCTTGGCGGGTCAAAGTAATACTATCAGTATCCGTTTATATATCTCCATCTCCCTCATACATACACATGCAACCTACCCATGTGTGTGAACGTTTGTTCGGTAAGCTCAAAGACATACGTTTTTTAGTTGGGTCTCTCCTTCTACATGTCGTTATGTATGATTGCCCTTCAATCATATTTGTCAGAGTGACAACCTACTTAACATCGGCGTGCAATTTGAATTGTCCTGTTATCAATCTTCAATATAAAATTGTAAATACAATGCCCGGAAATACGATCAATGGAGAGGGCCGACAGCTTGTGCGTCTTTCCAGGAAGAGAATGAAAGCAGCGGCCCCCTGTTACCCACTTCATGCGCACTGGAGAGAGTAGCAGATGCGCTGAAGATTAGTCTGCGCAGTGTTTCGCCCATGGTACCGAGACTCGATCTGTTTAGTTATTTCATATGGCGTTGATGACGTAAACGCCAAGAACGATGACTACAACTATGCAAATTTCATTTTTTTCAGTGTCGTTCTATGTAGTGACAGCAAGACAGATAGTAACGCCACTTTTATTAGTTCAAGATTGTGTAGTCTAAAATTGAAAATTGTAGTAATAGGAACTAAAAGATCATCACAGAGTGTAGACTCTTCCGATTTTTATTGACATGTTCAGCTTGAGGTCGACTTCTGGGACGTTCTTTATATCAACGCCTCATTTGGTACCATTGAAATCAAGGTTGTGAAGCACACTGTTGCTTACATTACCTGAATATAAGACAATTGGTTGCGGATGAGCAATGATATTGGAGAAGGCATAGAAACCATCAAAGATACCATCTAGCTTCTCCATAAGAGTGTCCAAGTATCCATATTTACCAACATTGACTTCGAATTCATTCACCAACTTTTTTAAATGTATGTTTATCTGCCGTTGTTTCATTTTGATCCTATACATCTCATCTTTAATTCGCTGGTGAGTACGATTGATCAATCTCTCTGTATGTTCGTTGTGCTCGAATTCCTTTATCACTTCAGAAACCCTACAAAGAATTTTGATTCTCTTATTCGCCGGGAGCGAAGTCCATAGTGGGGGGAACAGAGTCGAACGCCGCGCAAGCGTTGGAAAAAAAAAGGAAAACATCATTGATTGAGTTAACTGAGGCTTGGAAAAGGTTTCTTTTTTATACTTGAACCGACTATTTGTTACTTTATAATTAGTGGCATTGAACACATTTGGCTCATTGAGTTTGACAGAAACGGAATGGCTCAGACAGTTAGTCAGAACAACGATGTCGTGCGATAAGTTCCTGTGGAGCATGCTTGCCTCCTACAAAAACATCTCACACCTTGGATAACTTAGCTGAATCAAACTTCTAGGACTATCTATACTTTAACTCTACCTGCACATTTTGATTGAAATAGTTCAAAATTTCATCAATCCGGATTGTATGCTGGAGATTTAGAAATAACGCGCGTTGGCATTTATTGGTGGCCCTCTAGAAACACTCCATAAGATTTACCGCTTCTCTGCAAATTATGTTCCGTCCTCGTCGAAGTAAATATTTAGAATACATATCGTGGTACCCTCGTAGTAGTACCCAACCGCCATGATTTCAAAACGTGCCCTCTGGCCGAATATAAATCTTTATTCGTTGTTCTCGTGCTCGACCGTCAATACGTTAATCGGCGCGCGTCGTTTACGTGCAGTGCAGTGTCGAGGATCCGCTGAACATTTAGAATTAGAAAACAAGACAGAAGGTTGGCCGATAGATGTGCATTGTCGAACGGGTTTCCTACCTTGAAATTTTTTACCTTACAGGTCATAAGAGATCAAGATATAATTGTTTGAGCTATCAGTCTTTTACCCAAAATGTAACTAACGATGCAGACGTAAGATGCTTTTTGGAGGGCATTTACAGGCTGAGGCCATCTCAACTGAAATATAGATACTGTGGTTGTTCTCAACCTGGTAAGCTCTGTAGATATTTGGATGAGGAAATGACCAACACTGCTAGCTCTAACCTCAGGTCAGAGTGCGCAAACTAATTGAAACAGACAACATCCGGATTGGGTTGAATAATACTGAAATTGGGATTTCTTAGTTTTTAAAAGTCTCGGGGTCACTCACGTGGCAACCACTTAAGTTTTACCGTATTTTGCGCCCAAATATCTGTGCAAAGCATTTATTTGACACTGTACAGTAACTTTATCATGGTGCCTCTGCTCCCAGTGGAATGAAGTCGGTTTTACCAGCGAGTGTCACAATTGACAACCCACAGTACATGAAATGCGTCTACCTCTTCGCTAAATTATAGTAGTCTCAGGCTCGCGGCGGGCTGGAGTGCGTTTTCTAAGATACTCTCTTATGCCATACAATAGCTTTGCTCAAGTGGTATTTGAGGTGAACCAAGTCTCCACACCTTAAACATAACTATGTTATTACGTTGCTTGCTCATTACCATAAAGTGGATGGTAATTTTTGAACCAGGTACGTCATGTTACCTGTTGCTAAAAGCCCTAACTCGAATTGTTACAATGGATATGTACATTTAGTTGACTCATACATTGCGTACAATTTGTGTAGTTGTGTACAACCTATGGTTTACTATTGCAGAGCGTTAGTGGTATGTTGTTGCAACTAGCTTTGAACATCAAATGATGTTCGATCTTAATTATGTGAAGTTTTCGTCGAAGTAAATAGCTCCCTCGCTTCCTATGTATCACCCAACTGTTGCAACAACTTGGCTTTGAAGTAAATGAAGGTTTATAGGCGGCCAGAGGGGAGAAAGTTAGGGGGAAGGGGCGCGGTGCAGCTTTCCTTCTCTGCGGGCGCGCTTTGAAATCATGGCGGTTGGGTACTACTACGAGGGTACTACGATATGTCTTCTAAATATTTACTTCGACGAGGGCCTCACATAGTTAAGATCGAACATCACTTACAGGTAAGTTGGTTTGATCAAGTGATAATTCGACATTCAGCCAGAAAAGAGGTCATAACTGTCAAATCCATGAGGTATTTCCTGATGAGATGAGTAAAACTAGGAGGAGCGACAGATATGAAGATACATATCAAGCCGTTGGAAGTAGATCAGTGTTATCAAGCATCGACTATTCAAATAATGGGCATACAAATGCCAAATTGTAAACAGAAATCGAAGATCTGAAAATGGTAATTGAGAGAAATAATATTTTATTGGCTGGAAAAAATTCATAGAACGATTAGTAAGTGGAAATAAGACTAAAAGAAAAACATGGCATTATTGTTCAAAACTTGAAGGAAAATACCACATAACCAACTATTGTAAGTCTAAACAAAATCGACAAAAATGTAGATACCATAGAAAAGACCGCAAGACATGTGGAAAACTGAGAAGAAAACTGATTAATTATTAGAAGAAAAATCAATATAATTAATGGAAAGTAGAGATAATATGCTGTAGTCAGATTTTGTTAGAAAAAAAAGTTGATACATTGGTAGTTGAACCAAAAGACAGGAACAAAAGTAGCATTGAAACAAAAAATGTTTTAATCTAAAAATTAAGTTCTGCAGACATAGAAATATAATTTAATAAAATAACATAAGCAAAACAAGGATATTAATTCATTCACGTAGGGCACGAGACACCATTACCAAAACTGAACAATGAAGTGAAACTAACGTTAGGAGAAGATTATGAAATTAAAATTGGCAGTACAATTAAACCGAAAATAAAGATAATTATTGTCTGGGAGGCTGAACTGAATGACGAAGAAGAATTTGTGTACAAGTTTTAAAAGAACTTGGAAGTGGTTCATTGAAAGTAATTCATAAAATAAAGTAGTAAAACTAGAGGCCAAGCGGTAATGTAATAATAGAACTGTCTAATAAAGAAAATCAGTACGATAATAACGGTGCTTATATTTGAGATCGACTAGTCATAAATTTTACAAATTCTCTAGTGTTCTTCGATATTACAAATTACTTTTAAGTGTAATTTTGTGGTAGTATGTCTATACTGCAGTCAAAATCACATGAAGGAAGTATGTAGGGCTGAAAAGTATAACTGCAGTAATTGTAAATTATACGAAGTATGAAAGATCCCAAATATTTCATATGATCATAATGTACAGATATTTGACTAAAACTCTCCCAACTATTTAAACCAAACCAAAAATTGCAATATTAAAAGAAGTAAACGAATTACATAATCTTGTACAGCTTTTTTTAATGGAGGATTAAGGAATATTAATATAATAATATATTTAAAAAGATTCAAGTGATATGTGGATCTTCTTATGTTCATCTTAATGCAATATTGTAGCTTGGAGCTAAATAAAAAAAACCCATTCATCCATTCTATTATATTTTATTCTAAACATAAATTTTGGGGACAAACCGTCTGCTTTTATTTTGAGTAAAAAAGGCTAAGGCATTGTTGTTGCTCTCGACAACTTACGTCAGTATAACTTCAGCATGTCTTTTCTCAAGCTGGGCAGCATATGGTTTGATGGCACTTTTAGCGGAGTTGGTGATGCCATCTAGCTGTCTTTTGACGGTAGTTTCGAGCTTTTTTAATGTTTTCTGTAGTGTTGTTATTTCTTCAGGGCTATAGTTTCCGCCTTCGCGAAATAATCTACCAAAAATAAAAAATAAGTTAAAATATTAGTAGTTAGAAAAACAAATGTTGAAATATTTTTGAAATTGGATGTAAGTAATCACTGGTAATTACAAATACGAATAGCTATACTATTACCAAAGATTACTACATTTTAGTGTTGAAAATATACTAAGTGACATATAAATCCGAACACCCAGTTTAAATGGTTTTATTTTAATAAAAGTTGGTGAATGTATTTATCTTACTGTAAATAACAAGTGAAAAAATTTTCAGCCTTATCAGTTGGACATTCCGGTTTTTATACTGCTTTTTTTAATTCACTAACGCTCTAAAAATTAATATTTCAGCCGCAGTAAAGAATCAACGTTGGCGGATTTTGGTTCTTGACATCCTTTACGATCGGTTACGATGCCTAGAGTACGGAGACCTGTACGATTTCGTCAACTTAGTGAGTTTGATAGGGGCCGTATAGTGGGACTTCGGGAAGCTGGACTTTCTTTTCGGGCAATTGCAGTTAGAGTGCAAAGAAGTGTAGACACTGTGGTTAGGTGTTGTCAGGCATGGCTTCGAGAAGGCCGTACGCAAAGAGCAAGGGGCACTGGACGCCGCCGTAGAACAACAGACCGTGAAGATCGCCGCCTAAGACCATTGGCCTTAAGGGACCGTTTCTCCACTACCAGGTCCATTGCAAATGAATGGTTTGCAGAACACGGAAGACCTATTGGCATGCGAAATGTTTATCGACGAATGAGAAGTTTTGGCTTGTTTTCATACTGGCCACACTGGGTCCTCCCTTTAACTCGAGAACACCGACGTAATCGCCTTGAGTGGTGCAGACAACGGTCACTCTGGGATCAGGAATGGAACAGTATTGTCTTTAGTGACGAGTCTCGATTTTGTTTAGGCATGCACGATGGTCGTGCTAGGGCTAGAAGGCGACGTGGTGAAAGGAGGAATCCACAGTTTTTTGTTGAAAGACATGTTCATCACACTGTTGGAGTTATGGTTTGGGGTGCTATAGCTTATGGTTCCAGGTCACCTTTAATCTTCAGCAGAGGTAACATGAACGCGCAGCGTTATATCCACGAAGTTCTAGAACCCCATCTTTTACCCTATCTTGACACCCTGGCAGATCCAACTTTCCAACAAGATAATGCCCGACCACAATTTGCAAGAGTCACAATAGACTTCTTTCAACATAATGATGTCACATTGTTACCATGGCCACCAAGATCTCCCGACTTATCCCTAATTGAGCACGTATGGGATATGATGGGTATGAGATTGCTCAATTTGCAACGTCCTCCTCAGACTCTAGAAGCACTTCGAGAGTAGTTGGTGGTTCCCTGGAATGAGATACCACGGGAGGACATTGACCACCTGATCAGAAGCATGCCTAGGCGCGTTGGAGAATGCGTAGCACATCAGGGTGCATCCACACATTATTAAAGGTCAAAGGGCTTTAAAGCAAAGCAATCATTTTGAAATTTTTATCATTTACTTATTATGCTTCATTAAGTACGTATACAAAATTGTATTAAAATAAAACCATTTAAACTGGGTGTTCGGATTTATATGTCACTTAGTATAATAAAAACTTAAGAAATAGGCATGATTTCTTGAGATTAGATATTTACTTGATAGCTTCTAGAAAAAGGTATCCGGACACCGTGAGTTCATCCCAGAAATCGTCAACATCCCTCAAATGTTCGTTAAGCTGTTTAGATAGTGCTAATTGGTATTTCTCCAGAGTTGGATTCAGAGTCGCGCATGCCATTCTTATTGCACTGGAAAATGTTTGTTTCTGCGAATTTTCTAGAAAGGTTTGACAAACTTCTTTGAAGCTGTCACAGATTCCTGCATACTTTAATACGTTTTCAGCCGAAGCTTCTTTAAGTGCTTTGATTCTTGCTTCGGCAGCCTGAAAAGTTGTCATGGACAAGAGTGGACAAAAAATTAGTCAATATACCTTTTTATGGCGGTCTAATCTTCCGTTGTGCTCATCTAATTCCCTTTTTCTTTTCTGGTATATGCTAAATTCAACCTTCAGATATCTAGGTGTGTGGAAAGCAAGTTTCACAGATAGACGATGTCTTATCTTGGATATCTGGCCATCCAGCCATGACTCTGTGATCGCCATAATTTCGCTCTTGCCTACGGTTTTGTATTGATTTATTGCCTCCCATAAACTAGAAAAGTTCCAGGAATAAGCAGTAGCACAAGTAATCTGAGAAATATAATATCGTTGGAGAAGATTATACACACAGTTTAGTAGACCAACTTAATTTTTTTATTTCAGACATATTTTTTAAGATGAATTATAATTATACTCAGCGTCTAAAAAAATAGAACACCTAGTAAAAGTGATTTGATCTGACGAAGCCGTGATTAAATTTTGAAGTAAAATCATTTGCACTATCTCCCTAATATGTGTTGGACCACCCAAGCCTAAATACCAGGGCACCGGGGCCTGTATCAGGAGCTTAATGAAACTTGATATGATTTTTGAACTGAGTATGGTTAGTAGAACTTTGGAAAGCCGCCTCAAGTAGATTGTATAGTATACATTCTCCCAGTCGTCGAGGCACGTTTCTGAGGAGGTAGTCTGTGATTTCTTGAGCATGAGGTATCTCATCCCAGGCTATCTGTACTTACTATTAACACTACAACAGTATGCGGAAAAGTCGGATGACACTGTTGTCAAAGGTCTTTTTTATGCTGGATAGCTGGATGCAAAAAAGCTTACGGTTACTCATGCTCTAAAATGGCATATTTTCGTTTCGCTTATACGAATTTTGCTGATGTATAAGTATAATTCCAGAAGTTTTAGTGACATGGAAGAAAGTTTTTATAAATTTTACCTCTGCCTTCAACCGCTGTACCGCTCCAGCAATAACTACATTTGTTGTAACTGCAATAGTAAAAGCTTAAATTTAAATCTACTGTAAAAGGTTGCATACTTGGGGCAATCTAATTGTTAAAAAATATATGCTCCATTCGTCTCTCTTACGTTGGCCATTAAATAGAATCACATATGTTGAATAGACTAGCCAGTGACGTGTCGGCTGCTTCAGCAGCCTCTATCAAAGAGCATGCTGTTTTTAATGCACTGATACTGTTGTCAATATGACAACTGTGGATGTGAAATTTTTGTAATCTGTCACAAATTAGTTGTTAAATCTGGTATCAATTATCAGCAACTATGAGATTTCAAATATTCAAGTTTTTACCAATAAAATAACATTTGTCAGACTACTGGTAGTGTCCGGGTTACTGGCACATTCGCCCCACAAGATTTCGTTAGCACAAGATTTTTGATATTCAGTCAGCCAACGGAGATATTTAAGAAAATATCATTTTTCGCTAATCCTGTTTTTAAGGCCATCAAAAATTATTCATTAGTCAATATAATATGTCTAAAAGAGGTATATTTACCACTAAAAAAATCTTGTTTGAGCGCACGTTCAGCATTTGGATCGCTACCGTTACCAATAATGACTGGGCTATGACAGAATTCGACGAAAACTAACAAGCAACAAATTTCATTTAAATTCAAGTAAGATGCAGAGTCAGCCTACTTGACACCGTTTGTAAGACCGAATTTCAGTATTTCGTTTTAGAATGACCCTTATTTAAGAAGAAGAATATCAAAATATGAGTTATATATATTTTTGCCATAATATTTATGTGACTGCAGTAGGTACCTCTGATATGACAGACAATAATTAAAATAAACGAAAATGCTCTTGCTAATACAAACAGGTTTGGAAGAATTCTCAGAACTGAGTTCGGGTGTCGGCCAACTTCAAATCCTAGAAAAACGTCTGTCGTCTCCTCACAGTCTGGTATGCAGTGTTGCAATTGTTTTATGTCTTCGCGGGTTCTTACACGAGCTTTTCGGGAGCGTTTTTTTCAGTGTTTTCAACAGGAAAATTCGGCCGCACCCAGAAAACTGTGTTCGTGGCATATAGATTAAGTGTTTGTCAGTTTTTCTAGTGGGCTGCATCTTTGATTACGGGAAGAATGAAAGAGAACGTCCGCGGACTTCTTACACGGGCTCTTCGGCAGCGCTAATTTCTATGCTTTAACAGAGAAAACTCTGTTGTACCTAGGAAAATGTGTTAGTGGCATGTGGTACAAGTGCTTGTGAGTGCTTGAAGTGATTTGTGCATTTGGATTACGAGAAGATTGAAGGAGAACTTTGCAGATACCGGGAAAATGGTAAGTGCTTATTTATTTTATTTTTACAGGGTATGCCCTTTTTTGAAATGTGCTTATTGTGTGTAGTGTGCATAGAATCCGTTTATCTCAAAATAGTAAAATGATATATCAGAAAATCGTTACAAGCAAAATATAGGGGTGAAAATGACCTCTTGATACTTATCCAGTATATTTTTTGGACTTTCACTGCTAGCATATACCGGGTGTTTCAAATTTGACCGTCAATATGGGTATTTTGGAAACGGCAAGAGTTATGTGTTTCTTAAAGTTTTTATGAATTTTACCTCAACCGCATGTACCGCTCCAGCAATAACTACATTTGTTTTTAAATGCGTAACCTATATGTTAAGAAGTTTAATAGCTTATTTCCAAATATCAATGTTTATCGCGAGTACAACACAAGAAATGTAAATTTGAAAATAGTTTAGTATCATACTACCACCTATTCCAAAAAGTCCCCTATTATTAGTTTGCGACATATTCAACAAATTAAGTTAAAATTTAACAGACTAGTAATTACATTTCATTTACAAAAGAAGTTAAAGAAAGTAAAAATTTATCTTATAATATAACTGAGTACTTATGATGTACGAACTTGCACTTGAGTACATAAAGATGTAATCAATAATTATTGATTCATTCATATGCACGAGTATTGTTACATTTTTATTGTTCTTTACTGTATTGTATTAGATTCTTCTACCTCATATTCAGGCTGTTCGAAATTCGACCCGCACCATTGTGGTATCGGAAACTGTAAGAGATATGAAGTCGCTTGAAGGGCAAAGTTGTGTATTTAAGTAATCACAAAATGCCTCACAGGAAGTTTCGAAATTCAAAGCACTTCCGGATAGAGACGGAAGAAAACGAAGTAAAATAGTTTTAAATTCTTCCTGACCTTATTTGTAGCGGGACTTAAAATAATTTGCAAATCAACATTGCCATTATATTTCACAGAAACGGCTTTCCAGTTGGTAACTGAGAATTGGAGAAGAGCCATAGACTCAGAAGAAGTTGTCATAGCAGTATTTTTGGATTTGAAGATGGCATTTGAAACGATTGATAGAGATATTTTTTTAGGTAAATTGAAGGCGTATGGTATAACAGGAAGTGTTTTAGATTGGTTTAGAAATTATTGGACTAAAATTGAAAATACGTTGGGTGTTCCACAGGGCAGTATCCTGGGACCACTTCTTTTTATTTTATACATAAATGATTTACCTGCCGTAATCAAAAAATGCAAAATTCAGATTTTCGCCAATGACACTATGATTTATATAAGTACTAAAAATATTCAGACTGGTATCTCTTATATAAATGAAGACTTGAAACTTGTCTCAAAATGGTTAGCATCTAACAGATTAAAATTAAATAGAAAGTAAAACGAAAGCCTTGTTAATCGGAAAAAAACAATGTAAAAATGTTCAACTGAATATTGATGGTGAAGATATTGAATTCGTAGAAAATTTTAAATACCTGGGGGTTTTTGTTGACTCTCGATTAATTTTTGATATTCATTATGAAAAAGTTATAAATAAGATTAGTAGTAAAGTGGGATATTTATCGACAGTTTCTGGATGTCTGAGTTCATATAGCAGAAAAATTATCTATAATACCATCATTCTTCCAAATTTCTTGTACTGTTCGACTATTCTATATTTAGCAGATAATTCCGTTTTTGTTAGACTGCAAATTCTACAAAATAAGCGCATGAGAATAATGCTGAATAAAGATAAATATGCTCCAACTAGGCAAATGATTAGCAAATTAAAATGGCTCAATGTAAAATTTTTTATCAAATATCTTGTAATGATATGCATTTATAAAGTCAAAAAAATATATTTCCATCAAGTATAACTAATTTAACATCATCAAATGTCGACCATCATTTACATAATACCAGAAATAAAGATGACTTCCATTTAATGACCAAAAAGTATAACATATGCTACAAATCTGTATTCCATCAAGGGTTGATTGAATATAATAAATTATACTCAGAGATAAAAGACCAGAAAACTGATAAAATTTAAAGTAAAATTGAGAAATCACTTGTTAAATCTACAATTATAGGTTGCCCAGCATTTACATCATACATTGTATGGCTTGAATTTACTAGTTCTAAATTGTTTACAATTATTCTGTTTTTGTAGCCAAATGTGCTAAATAAATCTTTCTACTACTACTACTACTACTACTACTACAACTACTTTTTCTCCTCTACAGGATGGCTTAGCTGTAATTTCAATATGAAGTTTCATATCTTGCCCTCCTGCATCAACTTAATTTTGTCTTACAGAAATAACTATAGTTTGGCAATGTCAATGAATGACGTATTATACATTTTTGAAATCAGAATTAAAAACTCTATTCATAAGAAAAAATAAAGTTAATGCATTGAATTTAGAAGCTTTCTAAGCGGCATTTTGTAGATTATATAAGTAGGCAACTTTGCCTCTGTTTAAGCGCCTTCGTATCCCTTACAGTTTTCGATAGTCCAATGGTGAGGGATAAATTTGAAGCACCCTATATAAATCTGTATCAACTTGGAATGATTCTGTTAAGGTATGCATGGCGGATGGGCACGGGTCGTAGAGCATTAGAGAAGGACGTTATGTAAAGTTTTTAGTTGAATGTCACTTGCACCAGAGTTATGGGTTGGGACGCTATCACATATGGTGCTAAGTCACTTCTAATTCCCATCAGATAAGGTATGACGGTGCAACGGTAAATCTAGGAAAAGCTGGAACCTCATTTTTGTGATTTCGCCAAAGGCCCGAAAATCTTATTTTTCAGCAATACCCGTCCACATTTAGTTTCAAACGTTTGAAATACTGTATCTCTACAGTAATCCGCGGACTAACCTATAAGCTTGCGAACTCAATATTTACCCAAACATCCAGTTTTTGACTGCATCCACTTGAAATATACAGTAAAGCATTTGCATGGGTAACAAAGCTTCGTCTGGATCTATTTTAGTGACTTCAGTCTGGCTGCCTCTACCACGTTGCTTCTTCGGATCTCTATCTTCGTCGGGTGGATAAATTATTAACAACCTACTTATCTCTGCCATCAACACCTCTACCTCACATTCAACCATAGATTTATACTTCTGTACAACTTGGATTTCAGTGTTGCAATGAACTACATATCTGTAACATATATGGTGTTTCCAAACATGGTAAAACATTCAAGTGGTGATTATTTGGTTTACTCAAATGGAGCATCTAAACAAGCTATATATTTTTTGTAATATCCCATTGCTAAATGAGGTCTGGCCATCTTGAACATTATAGCTATATATCTCGGCTGTATCAGCTATATCTAGAATATGTTTGACGTATAATTCAAAGAAATGTCAGCATAGTAGCTCACATAATAGTGTTTATGAAAAACAATAGACTTATTCAATTTGTCGGAATGGGCGAGCCTTAATGGGATATATCTAATATTGACACCATGTATAATAATGGCTTAAAAGTAATTTTGTTTTATAGCTTGATTTGTTTTCTGAAAAATGAGTTCCCGTTTGACTTCGATAAGGCGAACCATTTTTGAGAAAAACAGCCATGTTTCAATAATATGAATGTATGTAGTCTAATTATATTAGACGACTATTTCCCTTGTCTTATTTTCTACCAATCACAATCGCGCAATTTCGAATTACAAATAGTTCCTAGACGTAAAAATTGTATGATAGGACCTGTCAGCAGTTTTTTTTGTTTACCCGCGGCAAAACTTTACACCTGTTGTCACCAAAAATTACAATATCTTTGTTAACAAGCAATTATGGTCTCCTTCCATTGGAGCATCTAGTTCTTTCCTGTGAATAAAATCGAAGAAACAATACCAAGTAATATTTTTATAACAAAAAACATTCGTGCAGGTGCAAAAATCCTCGTCTTCGACTCAGAATTTTATTGCCACCAGCACTTCTTGTTAAAATATTAAGTACTTAGCAACGTGTTTTTTCGATTTTTCTTCGGAAAAACTAGATGCCCTCATGATATTACTTATGAAAATACCCCTGGTTTGCAATATAATTGCAAAGTTTGGTTTTATTGATGCAAGTTGTTCAAGGGGGTATTTAAAACATAGACGCATAAAATGGGTACACCAATTTTTGAGGGAAAACTTTTCATTCGACAACAAAGAACGCGAAAACGTGTTTTTCTGGAATTCAAACGGATGTTGTCAGGAATGACAAAACTCTACATATATAATATTTTTAGGTATTTATCAGACCTACAGAATGAGTCGACATGTAAAAAGATCCGACGAATAGTAAAAAAGTTATTGCGGAACACCGAGGCAAAATGCAGGTTTTGGCACTTGTTGCTAATGCGACGATAATTTCACGCAGCTATTTGAAATTATTTAAATCCGTAGGCTTCATACTTCCAAATAACCACAACAAAATTGGAGTTTATTGGTCAAGAATTTCTAATTGTGTATCCCAAAATATACAGGGTTCGTTCAAAAATCATTTTATAGCAAAATACACGAGTTTATTTTGCCGTCATGGCTCACAAACCACTTCGAAAGGTAATTGTTATTTTTATGCGAAACACGAAGAGTTACGTTTTTTTTTCTTCTGAACAAATTCAAACATTTAGTATTTGTGAGTAATTGATCAGATCCGCTACGATGTTTGGAAAACATACATTATTATACACATTTTAAAACAAAGCGGATGGTCTATCACCTTCTGTTGCGAAGGAAACCATTTTTTTTTTCAAGATTTCTTCATACTCTTGTGTATATATATTTAGAGCTGAAATTTTGATGATCCTTAAAGTTTATAAAAAAATATTTGATATTGAAATGCACTGAACTGTAAAGTTAGCATGCAAACTGAAGACTCAATTATGATTTAAACTGTCTTTTAGACTAGTTAGTATGTCGCATGTGCTAAATTTTTTGATAAGTATTTAAATATAGTCCGAAAAACTAAAAATGATTTGGACACATTTTAATTTTCCTAAATATCTAAGTAAGCAATGACAATTTAGAAGTCGCTCAACGGCATGTAAATATGCTCCAAAGAACGCAACGTTTTCCTAATTTAACCTAAGCTTTATCTCCCATAGGCATTGAGTTCCTCTTGCACAAGACCCTTATCTTGGATACCCTGTATACATTTTCTTCCTAAATCGTTATACAAACAATTCAGTTAATTTATCGCGGCACGGGTATTATGTAAAAAAATATAAAACGTCAAAAAAAAACCTATAAGCTGTCATCTTGCAGAATAGGTAGTTTTTAGGGTGCAAACTTTCATTCCACGTTTGCTCACTAGGATCGTTGTGAGCGCGATCCAAAACGTCCATCTATGGAGGAATAAATGAACGATACGGCATGCTCGTTTCTTTACAAGTATATGTACTGTTGGTTGCAGACAGCTGCTTTGTTTGTAGATTACAAATTGTAGTGTTTGAAATGTGAATGAACGAAATTTTGGTTGAGTAGCAAGATCTGTGATATTTGCTATGTAAGAAAATTATTACTGACTATGCTGCCAATGAAGTATATCTATTCGCTGTGCCAGACGGGTTATTTGTGTTGTTCTTTTTGAAGAGAGGTTATGCTCAAAGTTATACATTACAATTTTTCTCGTTTTTGTCCTTTTATGTTTTCAAAAAAGAATAACAAAAAATACCACTGTGTGTAATTACTGTTAGCATGTATGTGACTTTTAATTCGACAGTGTACAGTGAATATAATTATTTCTTATCTCCCTCATTTTTGAAATTCAGCAAATTTACATACGTAATTTCCAGAATGGGTAAGAAAAAGTGGATGCGCAACTAATTTCTAGCCTTGAATCTCAAGTAAGTGTATTTGAGACAAGAATCCAATGGAATTATCATCAACACACATTATTAGCACACAAAACCTCACTATGCCTCAACTTAGACCTCTAGTAATGCCATCGCTAAAGCAGATTTCACATCACATCAGAACAAACATTGATAACTGAAGCCTGATGACGTTTAGGCAACACGTACAACAACAAAACGAGTTCACAAAGTATCCATCAGCTAGTGCCAAGTTGACGTCTTGTAGAAATCCTACATAATGTCCCAAAAAAACAATACAATGTTCAAGATACGTGATACCCGTGCCGGACACTCTGCTATCTTCAAAATGGCGGAACCAGTACGTCGGATTATCGGCTTAGACAAGACTTTAGCTTTTGAGCTATTATTACATGAGTCGGTGAAGGCCAGGATGATCCAAGTTAAATAAATGTTTCAGAGATATAAAGTACTGAAGTTTAAATGCTGCTGACAACTAGAGAACTAGAATAACGAACCGGCACGGGTATCATGTATCTTGAAAAGTGACGCTATATCGATTTTTTTGACATGTGGGGTTTTCTACAAGATGTTAGCTTAGCACTTAGTTATATTGTGTTGCCTAAACGTCAAGATACTTGTTATCAATCTTTGGCTCTGATGTGATGTAAAATGTGCTTCAGAGATGGCATTAGGTACTGGAGGTCTAAGCTGTAAGTTGTATGTGTTGATGATAATTACATTGGGTTCTTGTCTCAGGTACACTTAATTGAGATTCAAAGCTAGAAATTAGTTGCGCAGCCATTTTTTTATCCATTCTGGAAATTACATATACAAAATTGATGAATTTAAAAAAATAAGAGAGATAAATAATTATATTCACTGTACACTGTCGAATTACAAGCCATATACGTGCTAACAGTAATTACACTCAATGTGGCGCGGTGATGATTTCCCGGAATTCTCCTCAGTTTTTCGTAATTTATAACTTTGAATATAACCTCTCTTCTGAAAGCACAACATAAAAATAACCCGTTGGGCACAGCTAATAGATATACTTCATTGGCATGGGTATCATGTAAAAGACCTATAAAACGTCAAAAAAAACCTATAAGATGTAATCTTGCAAACTAGGTAGTTATTAGGGCGCAAACAGTCATTTCACGTTTGCTCACTAGGATCGCTGTGAACGTCCATCTATGGAGGAATCACACAACTAAACTACACGCTTTATTGGTTGCATATGTTTTGTGAGGCCAAATGGTCCTTGTCTGTAGTTTTTATCTCTGAGAAGAAAGTTGAATAGCAAGATCGAATCTGGATGATTATGTGTATTGGTCTGCATGTGTATAAAATCAGTGATATTTGCTGTGTGAGAAAATCGTTGCTGAATATGTTGCCAATGAAGTATATCTATTGGCTGTGCCCGACGGGTTATTTTTATGTTGTGCTTTCTGTAGAGATGCTATGTTCAAAGTTATAAATTACGAAAAATTGAGGAGATTTCGGGAAATCATCACTGCGCCAGCGTTGTGTGTAATTACTGTTAGGCATGTTAGGCTTGTAATTCGACAGTGTACAGCGAATTTAATTATTTCTTTTTTAAATTCAGTAAATTTGTATATGTAATTTCTAGAATGGATAAGAAAAAGTGGACTAGTTTCTAGCTTTGAATCTCAATTAAGTATATTTGAGACAAGAACCCAATGTAATTATCATCAACACATACAACTTACAGCTTAGACCTCCAGTAATGTCATCTTAGAAGCAGATTTTACATCACATCGGAGCCAAAGATTGATAACAAGCCTCATGACGTTTAGGCAACACGTACAACTAAGTGCTGAGTAAACATCTTGTAGAAGAACGTACATAATATCAAAAAAATCGGCATAATGTCACTTTTCAAGATACGTTTTACCCGTGCCGTGCCGAAAACTGCAACAGGACTTATCATAACCAGGAACACAAATACCTCCTTAACAAAATTATATCTACGATCAGCCATGTAAAATTTTAAATTAGCTATATCTATATCTGTAAAATATATAAAATAACAACTGTAGTGATTTTGGAAATGGAGAATTGAATATTATTTTGAGATATAGGTGTTTTGTTTTAATACAGATATTTCTGATAAATCCTGGTAGTTTTCTAATTGCTTGCTATATGGCTTAAGTTCAGGATAACGATAACTTGAAAACCTCTTACGCATTTTTTATTCCATCTAAAATGCCGTACACTTCGTTTACCAACTTATTTAGTTTCTTTTCATTAGGGCCTTGCCTCAACTTGTCTATCAGGATATTCAGTTTAGCTTCATATTCCTACAAAAGACAAATTACCTTGTCAAGAGATTTGCGATAAACGTTGTCAATTGCATGTTTATAGCTATTTTAGGGCAACCAACAGGGCACTGACGAAAGCTGATTTTGTTAGTTTTTTTCGTTATGACCTTCCTGATTTCGATTTTGCGCAGTTAGGAGATATTCTTATGACTTATTTTGTAAGGTTATATTTTCCTTATTCAGCGCTGTTGCATGCACTTGCAAAGCTGGTTAAGCTCAATTGAAAACATAATAGAAATACGACTTTAAGGACACAGATAAAAATAAATGCAAGAAATAGGCAGTGTTCTAAATGAATAGAATTGTCCTGTTTTCTACATGCAATGTGGTAAGGTAGCCTTTTTTTGTAGTTCTGGTGGTTTTCTTGTCAGGTTTGGACAAATATTACCGAAGCTTTTCTATGAAAAAATGTAAGAAGGTTTTAAAATTCTGAGGTTAACTTTATGTAAGTCAAAATCAAAAAAAAATAAGCAACCTGTCATAACTGTTAATGGTCAGTACTGTTGAGTTACCGCGGTTCACTTTACTGGTCATAGAAACACGTCTTTCGTCGACATTCGTTATTTGCTGTCGCTGTCAAAATAACGCAACGGAAGGCTTAACGAAACATTATTTTTTGAGCGCTAAAAGCTTTCTAAATGATACTAGTTTGTCTACTTACCCCAATCGAGAGATTATTTACTTCAGTCATATTTTCTACATCCTGCAACACTAGATATTGCGCCTCTCTTACCCTACGAAAATGTTTGTCCCAAAGCGAAGATGCTCCCTTAAGAAAATTATAAGTATTTTCGACTGTTTCCTTCATTTTGTCAATTGTTTTCGCCCAAACCATCTAAATAGAAAAACAGTTAATAACTTTCTAGAATTTTGAGGTTTGATCTAGTATTACTTGAGTGCTTGCAGCTTCCAGAACTTATGATATACTTGAAATGCACTAAAATTAATTTTTATCCTTGAATCAACTTGCTTTTCATAATTCTTCTTATGAGTATAGTCAATAATTTTTAATAATAAACTTTTGTAGGCACAATGTTTGCCGTGTTAACTGAGTCAATCTAAGCGACCAACTTTTCAGCTCATGTATTGTAGATATAAGAGCAGATTTTCTGCATATCCATATTTTAAAGTAAGGTTGGTATTTTACCTGGAGCTTTTGTAAATCACTCTTGAGTCTGATGTCCAGTTCATCTACGGTAGGTGTGTAGATCTCACTTTGGAACTCCTCAATTTCGTTTTCGTTTAAAATTGAGTGCCTTCTTATCACCTTTTTGAAGTCATCTAATTCACTGAAGAATCTATTGAACAGTATCACGATTATATTCTTGTAGAGGCTTACTAGATGTTTTGCACCTTGATCTAAAAAATGTGTAGATTCTATACTGCATGATAATAACTCACGAGCAAAAATCACCGTGTTTAGCACAAATAAACGTGTTAAATGTACAGTCTGCGAAAGGAGTCTTGTTGGGGAAGTTTTGAACTTTATTTTTTATACTTGGCAACCGCAAAGATAATAGGATAAATCAGAGCTCTCAAGCATTGAAAATGCCAATTTTTAATATTTTCAGATATTAATTGTAATGTAACTCGAAAATATTGAGCTTTAAAGAAATGTTACTAAGTACTTTTTTGTATAGAATGGCCTGCAAAACAAAAAAGCATTGACCTTGGAGAAAAAATGCTACCTGGATGCATACAGAAAACGAGAAAATACAGTGCCAGTCAAGGGTTTGTTCGATGACTAGGAAATGTTTTGAAAAATACAGCAAACTGACAATAATGTACATTACGACGAAAAAGCTACCAAGGACCTTTTCTGTACAGATTGATCCAAAAAACCTAAAAAACTTTGTCTTTAGTGAAAGAACTACCCACGTGGGTTTATAATGAAAGAGATAATAGATCGCCATTCAAGGTAAATCACTAGAAATAGTGATAATTACTATTTTGAAAAATACAGAAATTTGGGAATTAAGGACCAAACACCAAAAAAAAATTGTCTTTAGTGGACGAACCATCTACCTGGGTGCATACTGAATATAGTACATTGTCATTCAAAGGGATAGAAAGCCATGATAACTGTTTTGATATAAATAAAATAAATAAAATAAATAAATCCATTTTTAAAAACAAGCTCTTATTTAGCTGTTAAAGCGAACTAAGAATTTAGAAATAATTTTTTACTAAGTATTTGTACTTCTTAACCTTTGAACAATATTAAAGCTCCTTCATCTCAAGTTTCCAAATGAAAGCGTGTCAAGTTTTAATATCAAGAGGGTAAAGGGTGTAACATATTTTTATTGAAAACTTGACACTTTTAAGGTTAAGATGTATAAAACGGCAAATTTCTAATAGCAAATAATATTTCTGAATCTTTTGTTTATTTTAACATGGAAATAAGCCTTGCATTCGTGGGAGGAACTTTTCGAATCGATTTTGCTTCATAATCACATTTGTTGTCCTTTAACTGTATTAACAGTGCAGGCTTGTTAAAACAATTCTTTTAAACAAAACACCAAAAACTGGTGTTTTTGCACCTGCCAAGATTTGAAAAACCCTAAAAATGGGCATAGCCAATGTTTGAAAACTCATATGAGCATTATTTTAAAGGTTGCCAAGTATCTAAATAAAAGCTCAGTCTCTCATTTAAAAGACTGAGAAGAATATTTTGGGCTTAGTTTATTTCCAAGGAATTTTCAACGTTGCCTGCTAGGCTAACAACAGGAGAACTTATGATTTTCGCTGACTGTACCTAATGCAGCTAAGGTGACTCTGGTCTGTTGAAGCCAATCTTCCACATCTTTTTCTGTTACTGGTACCGACATATCACTCCCTTCTGAGCCTTGCATCATACTCTGGAACGATTGTATAGTAGATATTTGCTGGCTAATATCTGGGTTGCCTATAGCCGTGGTGGATTTGATCATACCAGCAAATCGTCTAAAAGAGTAATATTAGGTCGTCGTAATAATTATCAAAATTCGTATCAAGTTTAATCTTACGAAACGCTCCTTCTGAGCTGCTTTCTCAGGCATTTCTTCACCATCTCTTTGGCCGCAAGTATCTCCCCACTCCTCATCTGCATATCGTGAACAGCCCTTATCTCTAATTCTTTTTTTAAGTCTTCAAATGCTTGCATATTGTTCAGTGTAATTTTATTCAGATCCTATAAAAATGTGGAATGAGCAAGCTTGCCTCTCGTTTCTACAAAGAAACTTACTATGATTTCGTTGCCAAAATACTCTTCATTGTTGTATGGAAGTCGATATCCAATATCTTGAAGCTTTTGTAACGTCTGTTTCATTAAAGCTTTAATCTTTTCGGTTCTGTGCTTTTCGGTCTTCACCAAAAACTCATAAAACGCTTCAATGGTTGATAACTGTGTGCGATTGGCCTGTTCGATGCTGCTAACTGAGTCAGGGAAAGCAGTTTCTTTCTGTCTGAGAGTATCCAAATCCTGAAATATTTTTTGGTTTATTTTGCTTTTCATGCCGTTATTATTGTAATCGCGAAATATACAGGGTGTTTCAAATTCGATCATTGGGATTTCGTAAATTATAAGAGATAAATGAGGCAAACCTGCGCATTTAGATAATCAAACAAAATGCCGCTTAGAAAGTTACAAAATTTAAAGTGCTTCCGGAGAGAGATGGAAAAAACCCACTTTTCTGATAGTTTTAATTTTTTCCTGACTTTATTTGTGGTGGGATTTCAAAATAAATTGCACATTAACTATGCGACTTTTTCTTTTTCAATATGACGCTTAGTCACATTTTTTTCTTATAGACGCCATATTGGATATTTACACAGATAAACAGGATTTTTAATTCTGATTCCAAGCCAAGCATTATTAATTTAAAAAAAGCAAAATTTCCTAGGTGGGCCTGGAAATGATCAGACAGTCATTTGTTTGGTATGATTTTTATTTTCCCCATCAATAAAATTTTCATTTTGTGCTCAGGCTTCTCACCTTTTTATTTACTTATAATTTTTATCCAACAACAAATTCACGCCCAACCAAGAAAATAATACATCACTGAATTTAGAACTGAAAAGTCGATTTAAATGTGCAAAATTGCAATATAGCGACCATATGAAAAAACAAAGTTGGTGATGGAAGTCGAAAGACGAAATGTCGAATTGAAAATGTAACTCTGCTATTTTGTAGAGGAGAAGAAGTTGCAACGGCAACATGCAATTATTTTGAAATCAGGGAAAAATAAAAGTGATTTTGGATTAATTATGCGAAACAAATGATGATGATGATTTCAAGGCCTACCTAGGAAATTCTTCTTCTTAGGCTTGGTAATGTCAATGTATGACGTATTATATATTTTAGAAATTAGAATTTATCGGTGCAAAAATCCAATATGGCGTCCGTAAGAAAAAATAAAGTTGATGCTGGAGGACAAGAGGCGAAACGTCATATTGAAATTCTAATTATGCCTCCTTATAAAAAAGAAAAAGTAGAAAGGGTAGTATGTGATTTATTTTGAAATCCCATCACAAATAAAGTCAGGAAAAAATTAAAACGATTTTGGGAATATTTGTTTTTTCCGTCAATATCCGGAAGTACTTTCAATTCCGAAACCCTCTAAGCGAAATTGTGTTGATTACCTAAATATGCAATTTGGCCCCTATTTAAACGACTTGGTGTCTCTTACAGTTTTCGAGGTCCCAATGGTGAGGGTCGAATTTGAAACACCCTGTAGATATTTCCGGAGATAAGATATTTTTTATATGACATGTACATCACGAAATGTCACTCATTTCCGTCGGTCTGGCGGTCTATCTGTCTGCTATCATTGACCCCTCTATAGCTTGGAAAATACTGCTCCGATTTTGATGAAATTTTAAAACACGTTTACTACTATGCCAAGGATGATTGATGATGATTGTAGTTTTCAAAAATTGATCCAGTGGTGGTGGCGCTACAGGTAGAAAACAAAAAAAAATTAAAAAAAATCGTTCAAACGTTTTTTGACATTTCAGAGGCACCTGTTTCCAGAAAAAATTATGTAGGGGATGAAAATTGAATCTTGGGGGTTGTAAGGGGTGGAGAAGGTGTATCCCAATTTGTGGCGGTAGTATGTTTGTATTCTTACAACTTTGGTAATTTTATGCGCCTATTACTACTCATTCCGCGCCTTAAATTTCATAAAGGAATATTTTCAACAGACGCGTCGCGTATCGGTAGCACGGCAACGCAACGAATGTATACACAAAAAGCTGTGAGGTTTTCCCACGCAGTGTTGCTGAACAGAAGAAGATGAAATCGGCAGATAGTGTAGATTTGGTAGATTCAAGGACAAAATCGGTAGTAGGAAAAAATCAGAACCGTCGCAAGATTAGCAGTGGATTAAGGAACTTTACGCTACGCAGTGTCATATATGAAAAAAAGTATATTTTTCTGATGAAATATTAAATGCATTATTAAAACTTGTACAATGAGCATACTGGTTCTTTAAACTACTTTGCAACCATCCTGGAAACCCCCTTTTCAATTTTTTTCAATGAGATTGCGAATATTTGACAGTTTTACACCTGAAATTGAAGCATTTTAATTCAATATTTAATTAAAAAAACACAAGATTTGGTTTTCTTATTGCTTGTCAGGTCAGGTAATGCGGCAATCGGCGATCTACCTGGTTGTACGCACTGAAACCATTGCAGGGAAAGCGGGAGCGAATAATTATAGGCAACACAACTCTAGATCCCTCGTTTACCTTACTGCTTAAGTGTACACATATGCATGATTGGTATGGAGCATAGAACTACACAGACTACATAGAACAATTTTTAGCTTTATTTTTCAGTTTTAGCTCTGTTCCATTAAACAATTTGGAAATGTCTGAATTATTTTAGGAAATCGTGAACAATGAGGGTGCTTTCGGTAATTTGAATAAGGTCTCAGTAGAAATACAGAAAACTCGCTAGGTTCGGCAACACTGGTGTTTCGGCTTACCGCGCACCGCTGGCACGGGCTCATGGTGGTGCGGTTTAGCAACGTTGCCAGATGGTTGACGCTGTCAGTAAGGCATAGGAGAAATTTCTATATCGCATCATTATCAAATTGATTGAGACCATGGTCTAACTATGCGGGCGTGTTTGACTTAATCCATTTAATTCTTGTTATAGATGTTCGTAACTCACGTTTCCCATAGACCATAGAGGGACATTACAATTAAAGACATGATGACAGCGCTAAGTGCAGGGTCAATACGCACACAGCAAAACAGCTCCAGCTCCCTTCGTTCAAACAACCACTCAAACAAACAAAAGCAGCAAAGTCAAAGTCGGTTCATCTATTTGAAGATTACTATCCTCGGACAGATGGACATATAATACAAATTTGCACACGTTTATATTTAAAGATTAAAACTCTCGGTGATAACTCTAACGACTCCCTTTTTGTGTTGGGGTTAAAATATAGAGCTTACCAAATCCTCTATTCCCTTTAATTGCTTCAAACATTCTGTAATATCATCTTCTGCCTCTTGAGATCTCTGCTGGAAGACGACTGATTTACATTTTATCACTTCATCAACTTCCAAGTTGATCTCTTTAATTCTGTTTCTCATGCAAGCTATCGCTTCTTCATGGAGTTTTCGCCTTTTTTCTATTAGTCTATCTATGATCTTGGAAGGTCTGGAAACCGATACTAAAAGAATTGTGTTGTTAGCTCAACCCATTTGACTTACCAAATTCTTCTGGAAGACAAGCTGGATCAAAGTCGTCACACATTTCTTGGAAATATTAAAACTGCATAAGCTCTATTGACAACTCCTGACAATCTGTCAGTAAGACGTGCGATGACCTGGGTCAATCGAGACATTTTGAGGCTATGACTCAATGGCGGCGTTTCTGGTATGGGGAAATAATCATAATGAAGAGCTTTATTATTATTATAATATGCAAATTTTAAGGTCCAACCGGCACTACCACTGTATCAAAGGAAGTAATAATAATTTATTTGCCAAAAATAAAGCTTTGCTATAATTTGATGCCTGTACAGGAGCAACAATGTCAAATTAAAGAACTGGAAAATAAACCTTGTGTGTGGTAATAAACCTATTTTTGTTACATTTGCCATGATGGTCGTAATTTATGCACTGGAAGCTTCTAGTTATCGCTCACTCCTGAAACGGCAATAATTATTTGTTTGTTTAAAATAGTACTATAGTTAGAAATGCGTAAAGTATAAAAAAGTGAAAATAAAAAAAAGTTAAAGATATTTAAACATAAAGATGAACACATTATAAAAGTATTTTAAAAATTTACACTAAAAAAAAAAAGAATTTTCACATTTAAATAGCCAAAAAAAATCCGAAGAGATTCCAGGTATAATTAGAATATGAAATTTAGTAAAAACTAAATTGAAATAAAAAGAAGTCCATACAAGCTGGTGACTATATCTGAGTTTTACATAGAGACACGATGTTTTTTCATCTATACAGGGTGTTTCAGTTTATTGTTGCATAACTTTAAGATTCGATAGAACTTTTAAAATTAATGAATAAAGTCTATATAAACATTGGTCGAAACATGCGTGGCTTCCGAAATACAGGGTGTTTAAGTTTACTTTTTAAAATAGTTTTTTTTTAAATATTTCGAACAATATTTGATGTATAACAGTGAAAATTGGTAGACAAGGGTTTTTTGGTACCACAAAACGAACCATGGGCATAGTTTTACTGTAGCCGCTAGAGGGCGCTCTCTACTGTACCTGCAGTGTATTAGAATGACCGAAAATTTTTTCTTAGTGCAATTTTTTGCTTTTTGAATAAAAAAACTGATTCTTCGCACTTTTCAACATAAAAAAGCTCTCCTGTGAGTTTTCGTTATAGTTAGTCGTTTTTGAGATATCTCGATTTTTAAGGTTCGATCCATTTTTAATTATTTATGGGAAAATAATATTTTTTTTACATTTTAGATTTGGGCATTACAAGTAATGATCGTTTAGATTGTGTTTTTAAACACAGCAATAATTCCTAACTCCAAATAAACACAAAAAAACAGAATATTAATTTGTTTAATTTTCCAATATTATTTTTAACAAATTAAATTAATGATTTACAACTAAAATGCTATTGGATAGTTAGGACAAACGTACAAAATCTAAAGTAGTTGCTCGAAATGTAAACCCAATTGTTCAATACACAATTAATATCTACGAATGATCGAACGTGGTATAGCATTATTCAAATAAGGCCTTATTTCATCACATGCATTCCTGATTCTGTCTATTAGCATATCTCTTGTGGTTACGGGAGTCTGGTACACTTTTTCTTTCAGAAATCCCCACACAAAGAAATCTAATGGATTTAGGTCAGGGGATCGTGGAGGCCAGGCGACTGGTCCTCCACGGCCGATCCATCTTTCTGGATAATTTTCATCCAGCCAGTTTCTAACTATTCTCGAATAATGAGCTGGACAACCATCAAGCTGGAACCAGGCCAATCTTCTTAAATCTAACATCATCCCAAATATTTGCATGTTCAGCCTTTAAAAATTCCAAGAAGGTCGCAGCATTTAACCTTGCAGGCAAAAGGTAGGGTTCACACTAAATTCATGCTGAAAATTTCTTTCCCGAACTGCTTGCGGATTTTCATGCGACCAAATATGTTGATAATGAAAATTTACCACTCCACGTCTAGTGAAGCATGACTCATCGGTCCATAAAACGTTACTTCAAAACTCCCTATTATTATCAGTACTATCAAGAATCCACTGACAAAATGTGATTCTTCGTTCTCCGTCCCCTGGCTGTAGTCCTTGCACAGGTTGCAAATGGTAAGGACGTCTATGGTCATTTCTAAGAACACGGCGAACATGGCTTGCTGAAATTCCCAAGGCACCAAAAACTCTCCTAACACTTGTGGTCGGATCTCTATCAAACTCACGCAGAATCATACTGGTAAATCTGCGCTGACGAACATTTATGTTTTGATCCCTTTGGAGATTTCCAAAACCATTTTCAATTATTTGGCGATGCACTCTTACAAATACTGAGCGAGTTGGATGTCGTCTGTTTAGAAATCTTCGTGCGTATTCTCTGGCTGCTTCTGCTGCGTTTCCATTTACAAAGCCATACACAAAATGAATATCCGCTAACTCTTGATTGGAGAATAAAAATGGCATTTTTATAAAACTTACAAAAAAAAAACAGGTAAAAGAAACCAAATTTCGTGCATTCACAATTGCAAAAAAACGTTTCAGGTTTCAACAGACAACAAAACTAAATTAAAAATGCATCAAACCTTAAAAATCGGAATATCTCAAAAACGGCTGACTATAACGAAAATTCACAAGAGAGCTTTTTTATGTTGAAAAGTGCGAAGAATCAGTTGTTTTATTCAAAAAGCAAAAAATTGCACTAAGAAAAGATTTTTGGGTCATTTTAATACACTACAGGTACAGTAGGGAGCCCCCTCTAGAGGCTACAGTAAAACTATGCCCATGGTTTGTTTTGTCGTACCAAAAAACCCTTGAATACCAATTTTCACTGTTATACATCAAATATTGTTCGAAATATTTAAAAAAAAAACTATTTTATAAAGTAAATTTAAACACCCTGTATTTCGGAAGCCACGCATTTTTCGACCCATGTTTATATAGACTTTATGCATTAATTTTAAAAGTTCTGTCGAATCTTAAAGTTATGCAACAATAAACTGAAACACCCTGTATACTCATGGATTCTTTTCTAGGGATGGTTTTTATCCATAATGAATTTTTTTTTAGATAATCCAATATTTTGCATTGTATTGTAAGCGATACGCATTTTACTGTACGGTTTGGGGCATAGATAAGCGCAAGAGCGTTGTAATAGTGTTTTTCCGGCTTGGGTACTATTTGGAGTCGCTTTATGGCGGGTGTCACATTTATGACTTTTTTCATTTTTTCTTACTGCGAAATTTGAAAAATTACAAAAAGAAGATATCTGAAAACCAATTGGAATTATGTCTTTGATTAGGAATCATGATATTTGACATGAACTAATTTCATTGATTCATAGATATAACTTTCGTCTAACATATTCAATAATGGTTTTCTTTGCAGTACTTGTAACCCAAAAACTTCTTTCTGAAAATTGTATACTTTTTTCATATTCCTGGCATGTTGATGAAATATGCAATGCTTTGTGTGTTACCAACCCTACAATGAGTGAAGATAGCAAGATCATGAAATCACGTTTTCTCAATTAAAAATAACCACTTTTATTATGGTGTGTTACAGTAAAACACTGACTAAAATACAAAACTTTATTAATTTAATAAATAGGCAAGAAATAAATAAATAATACTCATCAACAAATAAATAACAACAATAATACTAACAAATACCAAATGAACTCAACTCTTCCTGGTAGGTTTCAGCCTTTGACCAAACTCGGAACTGTCTTTTTCAGACGTGTCAACGTCTTCTTTGGAATAATCATCATAATCGCCATCCCGATCATCTTTTTGGGTGTTTTCTCTACTTACTTCTTCACTTTCCAGATCTTCTGCTATAATTTCCATGGGATCTTTTTCGATTGTCATCAACTTACTGTTGACTTTTCCAGCTTGTTGCAACTGAGCTAGCCTTTCAGCTGCTTCTTTGCTAGGAAGAGATGAAAAGAAGCTGGATCCTAATGATTTCTCGTCAACCTTTTCTTGTTTGTCGGGTTCAACAGCATTTTCTTCAACAACATCTGCTCTAGAGTCAAAGCTGACCTGCATATTAGCATTTCTGGATGAAATTATATCTGAACCGGCTTCTGACGAGTCTAAGTTGTATGAGGCTGTCACCAAAGAACCCAAGCCCTTTTGACTTTTTTGGTGTGCTTGTTCATCGTAATTGAACGATTGGAAATCTGGTTTGAAACTGATAGAGTCTCCAACTGTTGTTCCGATAGACTGCTGTTCAGGCTTGAAGAGTTGTTGTGAAAGTATTGCTTGATAATCTGGTGCTTGCCGAGTGCCTTGAGCTGCAACCGCTTGTGGATAGGCAGCTCCAAGTAGCTGATACAGCTCCTTGGTACCCAAGTTATTTCCTAAGTATATTTCTCCTTGATTGGAAGACTGCTGCTGTTGTTGTTGCTGTGCCTGTTGCTGTGAATTTTGAGGGGGTATTACAATAGTTTCAGCTCCGTAATACTCTACAGGCTGTTGTTGAAGCTCTATTTTATGCTGCTGTTGTTGAAACTGCTGTTCATGTTGTTGTATTTGTTGTTGAATTTGTTGCTGAATCTTTTGTTGTTGACTAACATCGAGATCACTCTGCTGCTGATGTTGATAATGTTGAGGCATCTGCTGTTCTTGCAGCTGTTGTTGAATTTTCTGTTGCAAAGGGTCGTATTGGAATTGCGAATGATACTTTTGTTGTTGCTGTTGCTGTTGAATCATTTTTTGCTGATGCATCTCCTGTTGCACCTGTGGTGGTAACCTGTATAGCTTTTGCTTGTGAGATGCGTCTGTTTTTTCAGTTACTTGGTATGCCTGGTTGGAATGTTCAGATCCAGGATATTGCTGTTGTTGATGTTCTGGTCCTATGTAAGGTGAATACTGCTGTTGTTGTTGTTGCTTGTGTTGCTGCTGATGGTACCTGACCTCTTCAACTACGATGGGCTTGTCCTTTAAACTCAAGTTCGGTGCTGGAATGGTATGTATGGGGCCTTTCTCTCCTATTTGTTTTATTGGGTGCGGCAGTGCGGTTGGTATGCTGTTCGCTTGGATATGGTAGTCGAACTCCTGAAAAAAAGAACAAGAGTAACTTTATTCATTTTGTTTTTTCAGATAATTTGATATGCGAAGAATTAACGAATCGTAGAGAAATATGCAAGTATCAGCTAGGAAGAAAGTTTTCATTCTATACTTCTAGGTATCAAATGGCAGTTGCATTTTCAATTTCTCAAGTTCAATGCAATTTTGTAAATATATTTAACATTTACATGTAATTTTGTCAAAAATAGGGTTTATCGTATCTTTAATAGCAGAAACGGATGGCATACATGCTTTTTTCAATCAACTTTTCGTTTTTTCACTCCAGTTAAACAATAAGTATCTGAAATTTGTTTATTGAAGGAGAACTCTTTCAAACCCAAGAGGTTTGGATTTTTATTCGTTAGATGGTGACCACACATGTAATATCAAACCGTCAACGCCAGAGACTACAAGTTATTGTGTCTGTCTAGCTCAGTTTTTGCGGATGATGCTTCAAGCGACTTTTTGTCGCGCTGGTTTTTTGAAGCTGCTAGGGATGGTTAATGCATAAAAAGGTATAACCTTATCTGTCAGCAATCGTTCAGCAGCTTTAACACTGCATTGTCATCAGATGCACATTTTATTTACATTTGACATTCTAAGGACATAAAATGAAAAACATTACGTTAGAACTTATTATGTCAAGTTTTGGAGTGAAATTTCATGTTTGAACTTTAAAGGGCAGTACTTGTCACGTCCCGAACATAGAAAAAAAAAATGATAATACTCAGAATATCCCTTTTGCTTCCCAGGCGAGAAAGTATTGTAATCGCGAAAATTTTTGAATGTTATATGACATGTACATCATCGAAAAGTCCATTAATCTTTGGATCATTTATAACTTGGAAAGTATCGCTCGGATTTGGATGACATTTTTTAAAGCTGGTCCAGACGGTCCAGTACCGGCGGAGCTAGGGCAAAAACACGAACAAATAAAAATGGCTCAAATTTCGTTTGTCTTTTAACGTTTAAGAGGTTCATTATTTTCAGAAAAAAATTGTGGGGGTTGAATAGTGGAGTTTGGGAGTTTTAGGAGGTGGGGTCATTTTTTGGCAGCAGTTATAGCGTGGCTGGCGCTTATGACGTATTTGACTGGTGTGGTCCAGCGGCGTTGCTAGATGGTCGATACTTAGGGTAGGGAAGAAACCAGCATTAGCATTATCAGATGGATGGAGACCATGGAGTATGTGGTAAGTGTATATTGGCCTGCATGACTTTACCCATTTGATTCCCTTGCGATACGTGCTTGTAGCTAACGTGTGTCGAACATAGTCCTTTATGAACTGATGACAGCGTTGCGTGGGAAGTCCAGAGTCAATCTACTTGACACCATTTTCTTGAAGTAAAATAATGACTTTTCATCGAGATTACATTTTTGAATAACTCCCTGTCACAAACTTAGATATGAAATAATCTGTGGTTATGGATAGCTTGAATTTAGTGCAGCGTCCGGTCTTAAACCTATTCCGATTATTTTTTATATAATCTTATTGACCAAGCACCACTTTAAACGGAGCTGTATGTCAAAAATCGCACCAAGAGTTAATAAAATAATTCCTTAAACTAATTCCAAAGAGGTGAGCGGCACTACGCTTGTTAGAAGTGTCTGAATCTAATAGTTTTCGAGATATTTGTTTTTAAAAGTTCCAATGCATTATTTGTACCATGATGATAAAACATTTTTATAACATAGCATAGCAAGCAATAAGGTAAAATAGGAAATACAATTGTAACTTTGACACCCTGTATCTCGCAAACTATCAACTTTTAGACTGAGGTATGTTTAGGTCAATTCACATATTTTGGTCTGAGGTATCTCCAGTTTCGAGATTTCTCAACCTTTCGCAGCATGTGCTTTATAAACAATTAACAAACAAGGGTTCTCCAGGTTTGAAGATGGCAAATATTGAGTTGCTAGTGAAAAGTTGATGAGAACCTTTTTTGATTTGAGTGACTTAAAAAAAACTAAAAAAAAACTTACGTACGGTGTAAAAAACGGGATTTTCTAAGCAATATGCAGATTATGCAAAAGACCGAATCGGAAATATTTTTCGGAGCCAATACGATGATATTTTCTGGACTAATTGTTTCCATTGGGTTTTGTTTCTGACGTAGCATTAAGTCTCTGGAGACATCGATGCTAGATATGAAACGAAACTCTTCTTACAAACAATACGACTGATAAAGCTTATAAACGTGAAGACGTTAGACGTTTTGCTTGTTTATACTCGGAGAAAAATTCAACCAAAATATAAGGGTTGAGTTGAGTCATGAAATTACCTGAGCAGCAAGCGCCGCAGGTCCCAAAAACAATTCCTTGTGACTCTTAGGAGGCAGCACCATCTTGTACCCATCCCCAATTCCATCCATAACAGGGAACTTTATCGGAGAGGGCGGTGTCTTGTTCTTCCAGAAAGTCCTGATTGGTTGTCGGGATGGCAGGCCAATGGGAGGCAGTCCTGCCGAAATAGGAGGAGGAGCGGGCAACTGCTTGTAAGGTGGTCCAGGTGGAGGGGGGCGTGACCTCACTGGAGGGCGGTACAGCTTTTTGGACGCGTACTGCTGCTTCGGAGGGATCTGGTAGGGGTAGACAGGCGGCCCGCGCGGTTTAGGGCGGTAGTCGGCTAGAACGTGCCCTAATGCGGAGAGCAGAATTAGCAGTACGATCTGGAAAGAAACGATAACATGTAGATAGATGTATGATATAAAAAAAAAATTTGCCGGGTACTTTAAATCTGACCATCACCATTGAGATTCTGGAAATGTTGCGCATTTAAATAACTAGGAGTGTTTAGAGTATTTCTGGACGAAAAAGTCGAATTTTTCCAAATTATTTTTCATTTTTCTAGTATTTTATTTGAAGTGGAACTTCAAAGTAAATTGTACATAAACATTATAACTTTTTTCCTCTATAAGGTGGCATAATTAGAATTTCAATTTGAGGTTTCGTCTTTTGTCATCAATCATCAACTTAATTTTTTCTTATGGGCGTCATTTTAGATTTTGGCATAGCTTAACCAATTTTCATTTCAAAAATATAAAATGTCATACATTGGCATTGCAGACGTTATCATTAGCCCACCAACTAAAGGTTGCTGCAGTTCTTGAGAAACTTGTCTAAAGCACATTTAGAACATTTGCCCACTATAACAACGTTATTTTTAGCACGCCGAGACCTCTGTACGTTACACGACCAAGTTGTATGCAACTCACAATATACTCCAAACTTTTACTTACTCTGAAATGTTTCCATCAGTTTCTTGAAACTTTACTATAAGTTATTAATGAAGTTTCCAGAATCACTAGGAATTCCAATGGCCCATTAGATCCGATATCTATAAGTGAACTAGTATTTGCTTAAATTCTGGAACCATGGCCATAGAGTTAGTTGTTCACGGATCGCCGTTTAGTTTACTTCGAGACGACAAAAATTTGCCATATACAGAGACTTCAACAACTTCGATTACACTAATTTTTAAAACGATTTGGTTAATTTCCCATGGAATAACTTATATGATTTAGAAGACATTGATGAGAAAGTTTCTTCCATCCTAACTGATGGATTTATTTTTGATAAAAATGCACTTAAAGAATTATACGTGTGAATAAGCCCTGTGCTACATGGTTAACTAGGGATTTTAAGTCAGTTGTGAAAAAATGAAGTAAAGCTTCAACACAATTCAAATGTGCTCATTCGGAATCTTTATAAAACCTTTTGAAATTCTGTCTTGGCAAGGATAAGGCCAGACAAAGTAGCATACCTACATTTCTCAGCACACAAAATGATTCCTCTGATATACAGGGTGTAAAGTTTGTAGTGGATCAACGGAAGTCAGGTGATAAAGGACCTCCAAACAATTAATTTGTACGAGACAAATCATTATACTAAAATTCATTTTCAAGATTTGCACACACTATTTAAATCTCTAAAATCAAATCCCTTGGGGATTGAAGGAATATCTCTGATTGGACTCTGTTTGCACATTATCTCATGCCACATTCTACACATTATAAACATGTGTTTGAAAAATAACGTATTTCCCAAATTAAGGAAACGCGCTTTAGTTAGACCGATAGCTACAAAAATAACCCCACTCGTTATTCTGATTTAAAATCCATTAGCATCCCATCTATAATATCAAAATTATTAGAGAAAGCGATGTATAAACTGATAAATGATTAAATTGTATGAAAGGGTTCAATACTGCAGGAGCGTTATTAGACTTAACAGATAACATCGTAGAGACTTGGGATCAAAATTTCTCGACATCTTTAGTCCTCTCAGATTTTATTAGCTAAATTTAAATATTACGGTTCTTCTAACTCTTCAATTGGTATGATCAATAACTTCATAAGAAACAGATCTCAAAAAGTTATCGTTGATATGAACTCATCACCAGAAACTTTAATTTCGTCGGGAGTGCCCCAAGGAACTGTGCTTAGACCACTCCTTTTTATTCTTTACATTGCTGATCTGGACAAAGTGGTGAAGAATTTCAATAAACAATTGTTTGCCGATGATTCTCAATTATACAATTTCAAATTATAGTTGCAGAACCTCAAATAAATAACGATTTAAAAGCTATTGATAATTACGCAAAAAGTCATAAACTCCGTTTATATCCTACAATATCAAAAGTTGTCATATTTTCTCACAAAAAATTAAGAAAATAGTTTGAAAGATATGCAAACATTTATGGCGAAATTGTTTAAGTGCATGAGTCAGAAACTTGGGTATTTCTTGACAAGTGTTAGTTCAGTACTTAGTTATATCTCAATAAATAAATTTTAGACTACAAAGCTAAGAAAATTCTATCCAAATCATTGATCGTTTCAAAAATTACATATTGCGATATTGTTTATAGATTCAGTATCTATAAAACGCTTGCAAAAATTCAAAATTATCGCTGTATATTAGGTAAAAAACTTGAAAAAGTACGACCATATTTCGATATCTTTTCAAAAACTGGGTTAGATGAATGTTACAAAATTATATAAATATCACTTACTTTGAAATGTTCTTAAACTCAAATTACCTCATTACCACAGTTTTTCAAGGAAAAGCTAATAAATCGTATATGTGTTCATTCTAATACACTCACCAAAGGCTTCACATTAAATGCTCTCTATCTATATGATTTATTACTCCCTGAAATTAAGTCTTTGACTTTTGATAACTTTAAAAAACATATCAAGAATCTGCTTTTACAGTGACAAAATACTTATCTTTCACTTCTTCAAATAAAAACAGTATTTATTTAGTTATCAGAGTAATTACATTAAATATGTATGGTACTTTTGTCATTTATCTAGTTTATTCATGTTAGTATTTACTTTTGTATGGGTTAAGTGGAGGAATAGCTTGAGCTAAACTTTGCCCAAATAAAAAGACATGTATTATTATTAATATTATTATTATACTATTTTCATTATAACAGAATATTTTTTTCATAATGGACTCTAAGAAGTATCGTAGCTACAACTTACAATCTATCCTTCATGGAATGTTATCAACATTCCACACCTTCGGCGTTGCTCACGTCACTGACCGTCAGTAATTGAACTTGTAATACAAGAAAGTCTACCGTCTGTTACAAATTAATTATGATTAATGAACCAGAAATATGTAGACAACTTATTTGAAAAAAGTGAATTGACAATGAATAAAAGTCATTCATTATCTCAAGAAACCTCAGCTGGAATGCAACATCCACTTTCTATTTTACTGCAACAGTGAATTTCTTATTGATTATATACATCAATTTAATCTATAGTTTAGATTTATCAGAATACCAATGAACCATGGTTAAATGGACTCATGTTAATATAAATAATGCTTTTGCATTAGCAGATAAACTGCCTAAGTTCATTAACGTGATAATTACTCTAAAAGCCGTATCGTCTGTTGTTCCTAAATATTGTAGGACGCTTTTATGGTCTCCTTGATTTTCATAGTTTTTCCTGTCCTTCAGAAATATTTTTACTGTTTATTGCCAGCGCTGTATTTTGAGGCTATATTTTTTTCTTGAACTCTAAGAAATTTCAGGCTGATAAAATTTGTATCATCGGTTTTATCAGCCTGACATTTCTTAATTGTTTCACAATGCATACTTTGTAGAGATGAGGGTAATGAATATGTCTTTTATGTCACCATCCAAAGAGTTTTTTATAAACTCTGGTAGGCTCGATACCGATTGTATCTAAAGCATTGAGTTTGCATCGATGTTCTAGGTAAGGTAAGTTCGCGCTGCAAGTTGTCAACCGTCAAAATAAATTGAAATTGATAGGAATTTGAATCGTATACGAATAGATTCTGAGGCTGAAGTTGAAATCATGGAATCGAGTCACAAAAAGAAAAAATTTGGACCTGCTTTACCGTAGATTTGACCGCCTTTCAATATCTGTCACTGAACACCGACTATCCAATGTGGTGTAATACAAGTATCCTGAATCTTTTTGGCAAGCTTATCATATATCTCCAAAATTTTATATTGATAAAATAAATGAAAAAAGATGGGGATCTCTTATTCGCGTGTTCATAATATGCGTAAAGGTGGCGTAGAAATACGTAGTATCTCCGTGAGTGTTACTTTCATGCCCAAATAGATACACCTGTGGAAAGTAGGAGCAGCGTGCCTTAATCTATTATTAATATCGTCGTTACACTTAATTTCGGCCGAGCATTTGACCCAGGTCGGGGAAACGGAACTCGAGACAAGCTGAATTAGCGATGCAGCTATAGAAAACAATGCTTTGTTCGACATACACTGGCGTATCAGTATTAAGCGTACTATTTTTCACGAGTATCCATTACTGAGGTAAATAGAATATCAGAAAGTGATATCTTCATATTAAAGTATATATGTTATGTTGGCAATAATGGATCAGGTGGGAATCGCATGAAATTTAGGAACGTCTTCAGGACTGTTTATACCAAACATAGAAAAAATTGCTCATCGCTTTTTATGCCTACCCAAATGTTTTTAAAGTTCTGTCATTAAATTCGTATTTTTAGTGTTATATTCTAAAAGGGCGAGAGTTTACCGATAATTGTGGTGATGGACGATTTCAAGGCATGATACTTCTTACACCATTTGTAAAGAGCAGCGGAAGCAGAAGGTAGATGTATCTACTGGTAAGTGTTATCATTGTGAAGATACAACGCTATCATTTTGGTAGGTATTGATATTCAAATGAGTCAAAGGTATGCACCAGAACTGGTCAATTTTGGCGACAAACAATGCAATGTAAAGATATAGGGTTCTTCTAATCCAGCGGTCCCAACCTTTTTCTTTCTGCGAAACCTTTATAAAAATTGGAGTATATCGGGGAATCTCCTGAGCAGTCGTTAGTGAGAGTAAACAAAACAGTAATATTTGGCTGTTATCACCATTTATTAATCATATGAATAATAGTTATAATGAGCAAAGTAAATGAAAACATAACTGTAATGTAAAACATTTAGAGAAACGTTATTATAACTAACTGAGCCTTACAAAAAAAAGGATTAATATAATATGAATACAAGTAATTCGATACTTTCGAAAATCCTCAATGGGATATTTGTGCCTGTTTGTTCGAACAAAGAAATTCAAAATTTGGTTCAATGTCTGGAAGTCTTAGATCAGGTTCTGCATTCAATCTATTTCTGTACTTATCTTTGAGAT